ACATAACTGATTGGGAAGATTTCGCAAGGTAAGTGACTACTTTTTACCTAGTGTAGTGTTTGGTTGTTATTCACAATTTGAAAATTTAGCCTCGAAGAGTATATGAAAAAATATACGGCAAAGCAACCTTATTATTATTTATTATATTATTTATTATTATTAATTATTTATTATTATAGATTGTATCGGAGCGCAAATGTTTCAGACAAGTGTTAGGGCTGGATTAAATAGCTGAATAAACAGTTCTTTGCAAAAAGCAAGCCAATCAATGTTAGAGAAAATGATTAAGAATTATAAAAGAGAATCGACGTCAACATTTATCATTAATTCATTTTAGACCCTTTCTGGCAAGAAATTTCGTATTTGACAGTATGCTATCACAATGCTCAATCCCGCATATTTCATTACTTCATTATTGCTTGACTTCCCGTATAAAAATCTCTATCAATGTTTCATTTGGATACGAGATATGATTATCATATTTCAAGTAATAAAATTTATCGACTATATTTTATGAAAGTTCTCTTCATTTTTTCTCTTGCTACATTTCGAGACTAAACCCTACAGCGGTTATTTCGGAAAACACTAAGTGACACTTGCAAAATCGTTAGCATTTAAGGGGAGTAAAATTCTCATTCTCTCTCTTTCTCTCCAAATTTCCTAATCATTTTATACTTGACAGCACACAATACGGCCAATCAAATTTTTCTCAGAAGAGGCTACAAGTTAAAAATATCCTGGAACGACAAGTTTCACTAAACTGATGTCATAATAACACAAAAATAGCACAGTGTTATGACAGATGTTTGTAATACTGTGGCGTGGAAAGTGAATGTTCATTCTCCCTTATTTGATGTGTTATTAAGAAGTTATGATTCTTTTTATTTGTGCTCTAGACGGCTAATAAATTTTCATCGTGGCTACGTCAAAAGTTACAGGTGATAAAACATAAGTGAATAAACCACTTTAGTTGTCTCAAATCAATGCATCTACTTACCTTCTTACATCGCACTGCTCTTGGCACTGCATTCACGTATCTCCACGTTTTGGTAATTGAGGTACTACATGAGAAAATTGGAGAATGATTTACCTGATATGAAAACTGAAAGTTATTGGAGTGATTAACTTTTGAGTATTGAATCATTTTTATATTGTTAGTAAGAATTGATTACTTGTGTCAGTTTTAATTGACTTTATGGAAAGTTATTTTGGGTCTTTACAGTTTTTACGTGGGATTTTTCTGAGTCGTAGATTTATGATCTAGAGATGAAGGAAGAGCTGGAAAAGGATAACTACATTGCAACTCCATGTACTTAAGAAAATTTGATGTGAAACATAAATACATGAGCCTGTATAGTATATATCTTCTTGACTTTCAAACAAACTTCTGCCTGAGCATAGGGAATATAAGCTGAGATACAGAAAAACAGAAGTAGAGGCTATTGCTAAGAGCAGAAGTTGTGGAGTATTATTTCAGGGAAGATATACTTACGGAACTACTGCGCATACAAGCCATATAAGTAATCGAAGGGATGATCCAAGGATAATATGTACAGAATGCTACTGGTGATAAAAAACATATTGACACACGGATCGTTGATTTTTCAATGTTATCATTAGTATAGATAATGATTGACTCAAATTTCAATTTCGACTGCGATTTGTTATTGTCACATCGATACTGTATAATTATTAGAGGGTTGTATCGCATGTATGATATTTATTGTTAACTTTGAAAATGCCGAAGAAATTCTGTGGTGAGAATACGAAAGCAGTGGCAGCAAGAGCTCGCAAAGAAGCTGCGAAGAAAGAGGAAGTAGAGAAGAGGAAGAAAGCTGAAGAAGATGCATACTGGCAGGATGATGATAAGAATGTCACCCGTAAACAACAACGAAAGGTCAGTTTATTATTTGTTACTTGTTATTTATGGGAAGTAATTCTGTACAACCATTTCAAAATTTCGCAAAACTCATCAATTATTAGAGATGATCGGTTATACTGGCTACTATAGAGAATATTGGCTTGAGGAAAGGCAGAAATTTATATCCGATTAATATTGTTGTTTGATTTGGGAATAAATTTAGAATTTTTTAAATTTCAGGAAGAAGCAGAACGCAAACGTATGGAAGCATTACAGAGAAAACATGAAAATCGGTTAGCACATGATGAAGAAATGAAAGCATTCTCGGGAAAAGCAGTTGGACCATCTAAGGTTTTTTTATTCTGAAAAAATTGTTATTTTGAACTCCAAAAAAACCAGAAATCTACAACACATCAATTATTTATTATGCCGCAAATTATCATGAAACCTTTATATTTCTCCACAGTTTGAGATGTTATTGTTGAAAAGTATGAAAGCTTCAGAACATATTTCTAGAAATAATAAGTAGAGAAAAACAGTGTGTAAATAAGCGAAAAACAATGTCTGTGGCCAGTTGAAATGGAAGACGTTTCACACTACTTGTTAAGCAAGTAGATCAACAGGAATGCTTCTGCACAGTGTTTTTCTTGTAGAGGACCATAAACAACTATGGGTTTCAGATTACACAAGCAGCGATTGAAGCAAATAAGCGTGCTGAAGAAGAACGAAGACGTGAAGAAGAAAGAGAGCGCTTGTTGAAAGAACAGCGTTTAGAAGCCAAAGAAGAGGAAATTGAAGAAAATGTTAATCAGTTAGAGGTATTTTTCAAACTATTGATGGCTTGTTGATTCTTATATGTTCGTTTCTTGGCTAAGTCTTACTTTTTTTAACCTTCTTTATGTCAGCGAACTTCTTGCTTTTTTCTACAAACAACTTCCTCCTCGTTTCCCACAATTTATGTCATTTGTTTGATTTTTAATTGATCGGTATTACGGCTCAAATTTCCTTACATGTGGCGTAGTTGCTCCTTCGATACTTTCAAGCCTTGACGTATTCGATCATGATTTTTGTTATTTTAGGTAGAAGGTGAAACTGCTCACACTGTCACAGAAGCAATTAATATATTGTCTGTAGGGAAACCAATTATCGACCGCCATCCCGAAAAAAGAGTAAAAGCCGCCTATCAGGTTATTTCGATTGTTTTCGGATCTAGTGCAAATTTAAAAAAAAGTTTCATAATTTTGTTGGATGGTGATTGTTGAACTGACAACGAAGTTTTTATTCTTTGAACAATTAACGTTTGAATCAACGCATAATTTCCAAATTCCCGAACTCATTCAGAATTTTAGTTCAATGGTTCGTTTAGTTTTCAATTTTTGTAAGTTTTACTGACCATGATGATTTATATATGTTTTTTGTTTATTACTTTCTTGCTTTTCTTTCTAGGAATTCGAAGAAAAAATGTTACCGCGTTTGAGAGAAGAATATCCCACATATCGCCTCTCACAGCTAAAGCAGGTCTTAAAGAAACAGTGGCAGAAATCTCCTGAAAATCCTCTAAATCAAAGAATTTTAGAAATCATTCAGTGATGTATGATATATAACCTTACGTGTCCTTCAATCTTGATAAATCCTTTTGATATATTCGAATTGTTCGAATTTATTTTTGTCGAAGTTCAGTATATATGCCATACTTGCTTATTTTTCAAGAATCAGTTGGAGGATGGAGGACCTTATGTTTCAAGTCATATTTGGTATATGTCTCAATGCACTACACTGCTATTATTCCTGCATATGCATAAAGATTTTTTAATTTTTTAAATGTTAAAAATTATCCATCCGCATAATAAGTAATTACCGTTATTCATTTGAAATATAGTGATTCAGATTTGCAAATATTTCGTTTTATAATGGTGAAAGTTTGGCTTGCTGAGTCGGGGGTTGATTGCACACCGCGTTCATTTAATATGGAGAAGTATGTGAAGGAAATACTGGATGACTTTGTGAGTGATCCAGAAAGACGTTCAAGATCTTGTATGTTTTTATTCGGAGAAGTGTTTCTAGTAAGGAGAAATTTCTAGAGAAGTATACCAAGTCCAAGTTCTTCTAGTTTTAGAACATTTTTTATTGCTTGTTTTAGACAAGGAAATAATTGAATTTTTTGTAGGTTTAGTATTTCTTGGAGAAGTGTTGGCGGAAGACGTCAGACTAAACGATGTAAAAAATATGAAAGACAAGTACACATTACACGTTATGATCCGTTCTACCTCAGATCCTATGCCGAAGTTACAGCTGGATAGCAAGAAATTACAGGAATGTAGGGAGAAATTTCAATTCCTACGGGCTTCTAAACGCAGTCGCGAAAAGGTAGACTTTTCATTTCGTTTCTTGTTTCATTTGGAGTAAATTCTTTCATTTTTCGAGTTGCCCCAGCAGCTTTTTTAATGAACTTTTGTGGGTATCTTTGAAATTTTAGATAGATACCTTTCCTTTCTGATACTCTCATTTTGTTTTTGTAAAAGAAAACATAATAATATGAATGTTTTGTTTTGTTTAAGAAACAAATTCTGAAAAAGCGGAATGGGACATTCTAGGTGGTACATTTGTCAAAATTACTGATATTAGACTTTGAGAAAAAAACAAAAGTCTCTATTTGCAGATAGTAGATGAAATGAGTAGAGACGACTTCATGGAAGGTCTACTGAAAGAATTTCCACTTCTGAAGAAGGATCGAATGGCACGAATAGTGGCGAAGGATTTCATTCTCTCGGGCGCCATGATTATGGGAAAGCAAAACACAGAGGAAGCCTTTCTTCAGGACCATCCAGTATATACCCTTTATTTTACCAACAATTATAAAAATTGGAAGCATATAAGAAGTACAACAAGCTTTTCAGTATGATTTTATTATGTAGTTTGTATGATCATCTCTGTGTTTTTAAGCATGAGGATTTTTTAAGTGAAAGTTTCTTTTTTCTGATGGGGCTTTTTTTCTTTAGATATTAATAGATGTGATACATTATTGGTTACGTGGCATTAATGTACCACCTAGGATGTCCCATTCCGGTTCGAGCGCTTCTATATCAGACAATCCGACACCATCCTCTGGACAAGGTGGTTATGCACCCATCGTAACTCCACAAATGTTACAAGAGGTATGGCTTGTCACTGAATGCCATTGTGATATTCTCATTCTATTTAAAACTTTTAATCATAATCTCTCCATCGAGAAATTGGCTCAGACAGTTTACATCATTCATTAGTGAAAGTTTGGTATTCTTTTATGATGATCTCAGATGTATTTTTTTAATACCTTTTTAATATCTTCTCAGATATATTTTTTAGTATTTTTTGTTTATTAATTACTACAGCATGATCTCTAGTTAATAGTAGGAATGCGATTTAGAAAATGCATATAGGGAAGATGTTTTGCATTTGAAAATGATATCTTAGTGCCTATAATATGAAAACCGAAATTTCATTATAGTTCGATTTACTTCAAGAGTTTTCAGAATTCCAGTAGTAAAAATTCATTTTCAGGCGGTTGCGCAAGCAATGAGAAATGTGGGAGGAGGTAGAATCAATCAGGGATTGTCATCGTCCTCGACATCATCGTCTCGAAACTCGCATCATTTTCCTGGTACGCTTTCAGCATCTGGCTCTACACAGTATGCTTCACAGTTGACTCAGTTAGCTGATTTTGGCTTCATAAACACCGAGGAAAATAGGCGGATTCTTGAAGAAACTGGTGGTAATGTTGAACAAGCGCTAGAATTGTTGATTGCTTTGCGAGAATCAGTTATGGATTTGGGGGATACATCAGATAGTTAATACGATGAGTATTATTTCAAGGAACTTAAAATGTGTAGCGAACTTGTTGGCTCAAAAACTTCGTTTTTAATGTGGGAAGTTAATGATCAAGTAACAGGATGAATGAGCGATGTACATCTAAATTAAACAAAAGCGATTTTCCTTTTTTCTATCTCCTCCCCTTTCTCTCAAGATGTAAATCTCTTAAAGTAAGACGTTTTCGAAGCATATAAATGGCTTCCAACAAATTTATGGTCTCTCTTCTTACACTATCTTACAAATAATTGAAACTTTATTTATTAGGATTCAAATTTCATGATATTTATTGCATACATTTTTCTGTCATTTTTCACTAATGGGCTGATTAAGGGAATTTAGTTGCTTAAATGGGAAGAAACTATATCTTATTCTTTGAAGGAGTTATATCTTGTTGGGTACAAACAATGGATATTCTAATTAACTTCTATGTGCTTCTTATTTTGAAATTAGTTAATGATTTGGATTTATCTGCTCGTCTGGTAGAAGATTTGTAGGGTTCGTTGACAATTTTTTATGTAAATATTGATTTCATAATACGTCATAGTATTATAATGTGATTCTTACACTTCATCTGGAAAATGAAAACTTGTCACTTGTCGGGACCTGTATTCCAACATGCTAAATGAATAGTTTTTTTATTGAATAATTTATTGAATATTGTTTTATTGAATATTGAATAACATTATCTGCTTAACTGATGCTGAACAGGTTTTGGAAATTGAAGTTTTAGTTATGCTTAGCTGAAACCACTTCAAAACTGGCTTCAGCTAATCGCTTAATCGCCGATTTTCTGTCATTATTCATTTTAACTCAATTATTGCATCGTAAATTATTTAATGCATTCTTCAGATTGAGTTTCGCTTCATTCTGTAAGTTTTATTTGATTCTGTAGGATGAATTTGATGAAAGCCTTAAGACGTTTAAAGAGATTGTAACGTGAAAAACATTCCGTTCCTTTCTCATTCTTTTTAGCAAAACATGAAAAAGTGTCGAGGCAGTAGGCCGTACTTGAAATGCAAGCTAAAATTTGACTGGCATATTAAATCTCACGAAATGTCAAGTCACTTTCTGGACGCCTTGGTTGAGTTCCTTGTAGAAAAAGGTTTCAAACGGGCTGGGAAGATCATCAAGCGAAATCATGAGGAACGAAATGTTAGGAAATTGTGGAGTTGCGATACGGAAAAAACAAAAGACAGAGACATTTTGAAAGAGGACGACGTGGATAAAAAGAATTCAGAAACCACTCGAAAGGTTACAAATTTTTAAGATCTACAATTTTACATCAAAAATAAAAATATAGAACTCAAAATATAAATTGGAAGAAAAATGTATAGCTGTGAGCTGTTAGGAAGCGCATCATTTTGTCCACCCCGTCAACAGATTTGCGCTTTTTGACAGCATGTAATCGCAACTTGTTTTACTATTTTACAATTTCTATTGAATAGTTTTCCATAGAAGTTTCATTTCCTTGGATTTCTTGTATAAATTTCAAGACTTTTAATAACAAATTTCAAGACTTTTAATAACAAGACTTTTAATAATTCCATAGAAGTTTCATTTCCTTGGATTTCTTGTATAAATTTCAAGACTTTTAATAACTTTTAATAAATACAGTCCTCCTTCGCTTTGATTGGAATGCGTTCAGTATTACGTAATATGCAAAGAAATGTGTTGTCAGCAGTGTTTTTTGACACAGTCACAATCAAGCCATCATCGGTTACAACTACTTTGGGGCTATATGCTACCAGGTACAAGAACTATTACGTCATTTGTTTCATATAACCTCTACCCTTTTGGGTCTCCTCATTTAATTTTATTTTTCTCCGCCACTATATCCTAACTTCTGGAAAACAGTCGAGATGTACTTATACTTTACGGTTTACAGCACTTTTGAGTAGTACATCACAAAGACGAGATTTCCGTTAACAAATTGTAAGCTGTATATTATGATATTCTGTGATACATGATATATTTTTTGAATTATTTCATAACTTTTAATATTTCAACATTAGATTTGTCGTAAGTGTTGCTTAATCTTCCCTTGTTCATGGATACTTCAATTAAATTTAATAGTAATGATCCTGCAACTGCACAAAATTTCCAAGAACGTTACTTGGATATGTTCATCTCTGACCTGACTCACTCATTTTATAATTTTCAGCTTACAAAATACAAAGGTATACGCGATCTCTGGTCTAAATACTACTCTTTCAACAGCTCTTAATATACCAATGGTAGCAGCTGTAGGATTGATGAAAATATCCGCTACCAACGAACTTTGCGATTTGGCAGCCCATTCATTCAACAATGTCAGCATTTCAAATAAAGTTCGCTTTTCTCATCTTCCTTATTAATTTTCTACCTTCTTGTAAATTATCGATTCTTTCGGCTGTTACATAAAAAAATTTTTGCTATGAAAATATCACACCGCGAAGACGTAAGATGTGTCAACAGATTTGTGAATCTGTGAATCTATGACCTTCCAGCTTACTAAATATTGCCTGAAACTACTGAAGGAACTTTTCGTAGAAAGTCTATTTTAACGACACATTACAGCTGTTCCGTCAAAATATTTTCTTCATTCTTTTGTGATATATACGAGTAAAATAACAATAGTTTTCATTGTATACTTACTGCTATCAATAACGAAAGTCAGGGAAATTTAAGCAATATTCGTTTTATAGCTGTTCTTTTATAATTGTTGAATATTCCTCTTTTTTATATTAATTGTTCGCTGATTTTCAGCAAAAATCTCTACCAGCTGCCGTAACAACCAGATTGCAAACTCCGACTGGGAAGAAGAAAAATAAGAGATGAAAACTTTGTTTCCTTTATTTTTTTTAAATGGCATAAAATAATTATCATTATATCATTTCACATTTTTAACGGATGTTAATAAATTCTGTAGCTAGAACAACGATACGATGCACGGAAAACACTAAATAGTAGTTTAGTTCTATGGATGACATATGCAGAGAGAAATCATAAAGTCATAATTCGAGAATTAAAAGAATTCTTATGTCACCACAGATCACACTAAAAGGAAATATACCTACCATGAGACAAAGCACCAAATCCGACGAGACTGGATTTGGTTTAGTTTCGAATTGCGATAACTGATTCGATTAGTTCCGTCTGGCAGACTCCAAAAGCATTGATATTTGGGAGTGTCCAGTTTTTCTTTTCACATCCCTGAGAAGAGGAAGTCAGTGTGAAACTGAAATTATTGGAATTCAAAGAAGCAATATTAATCCATCTATACCATTGATCTAAATATTCGGTTACACTGTTCCATTTTGTCTCTGAGCTTCTTTGCCCATCGGAATTGCTGTACATGTGCCATATCCATTACATCCTTCCGAGCATTTCCGATATTCAGTTACGGTAGCTGCGGAAATCACGAGTTGGAAATTTATAAGTTAATTCAAGAGTGAGACAGTATTCGATTTCACCTGACCCTCGTTGTCCCACTCTATTTTCTTGGATCCTACTTTTACACTTCTCTAATTTTTTTGATTATCAGAACTGTCTCATCAATCCTTGAAAGTTGTGTGAACAGAATAATTTTTTAAAAGTTATTTCAGGAAATGATCACTTAAATTGATTTTTCGACACTAATTTAGAGCAGAATGATATTACTAGATACGGTGAGCAGTCTTTACCTGACACAAGGAAATTGCGTCCTAAAATGCTGCAAGTCAACGATGAAACTTTCAGTTTGTTCAATCAAAGGTATTATTGTCTAAGTACACTCTATAAAAATCTCACTTAACATGTTTCCATCTCTTGTTGAGCGTGCTATATTCAAGAGTTGGTACTATTTATACTTAATTAACTGCACATCTTTTTTTAACTTACTTCCTCCATCAATTCGTTGTTCATTAGTATTTGATTTATTTTCCCAAGTTTAAATGCCACCCGATTACTTCATCTGCTACGAAAATTTACTTAATTACTGATACAACTCATATTACCGAATTGATCCACGGAGGCTTATAAAATCGCCTGCCCTTCTATTTATTTCAGTCATTTTGTTGGTTGAGATGGAATTATTTATTGGTCCAAAAAGTCATGGTCTTATTTTCTTAACAAATGTTTAGATTCTGTCTTTTATGGATCATTAGGTTCAAAATTTCAGGTATCCTTAGATATCTATATCATTTCTTCAAATGTAGAAATTCTTTGCAACTCTATTTTTTGAACTTATCATGTATTAATTTAAAAAATGCATTAATTACGAACTATATGATTCTTGAATTTTCTTTACAGAATCTGTTGGTGCCATCGAATTAGGCGAGTTCGTTGCATTTATTGGAAAAATTTTGGTAGAAAGTGAATGTTATCTATTGGTTGCTGTTGAATGCACTCCAATAGCCACATACCCTTGCACGAATGTTAGTTTATGATTATAGAATTTGAAGACTAACAATTTACTAGTCTCAACTCTGTTCGTGTATTTTTCTGGCTTATTACCTGCTTTTCCTGCTTCCAAAAGTCAAGAATATTAAATTTTTTAATATTTTATTACTTGGTTTTGTTATATTAGCCTGACACGAAAATCAGTAATGTTTCAGGATATGATCAGTCATATTGACAGAGTCATTGCCATACCGGTAGAAAAAAATGGTCTGCCTTGTAAGGTGAAATACGTTTAATTTATTATCGGTGATTGGAGAGCCATCATTGAAGTTTTCATTGATTATTATGGGGGAATTAGATACTTCTTAATCATTATTAGAGGCAGTGTACAAAAAAAAATTGAAATTCATATGAATAATTTTGAGTTCTCAGATTATTAGAATTGTTCGATGTAAATTCTTTGCAGCCAGTTATATCTCTCTCGAAATTAGAAAAAATTAAAATGTCGCAGAAGAAGGTAATGCATTTTGTTACGAGGAAACGAAATTCGGTTCGATTGATCGATGAAATTCTACGGCTTTTTAATGATGGCGATTTCTATATTTGTTTCAAAAGAGATATCACATTAAATACTCAAAGGTGTGAGACTGTTGTTTTTATTTTAATATTTCTGATGAGTTGAGCTCATTGTTGCTCATTATTAGATGACGACATTGTATTCTTTACAAATTCTTCGTAAGTTACCGACAGAATCTTTGTTTAAAAAGTGATAAAAGAAGATTGACCTTATTCGATTGCGTAAAAAGAACTATTGAACTGTATTAAGTGAATAACATCAGTTATAGTAACTTTTCAACAAGATGTACGAATAAGTGGTTTTTTTGGAACTATGCATTGCTTTCTGATCTGTTTAACGATGATGGCTCACCTCATCCAGGAACTGAAGAGTGGATCATTCCAATATGTCAAGGCTTCGTCGCTGAAAGGTTAATTCTTAATTTTGGTATTTCAAAAAAATAATTCAAAATTTTGGAAAATTGACAGGCTGTTTTTGAACTGCATGAAATCACGAAATACTTTTCATTAGCATATGAACACTATTTTAAAAGTATAAATCTGCAGCATTACAAAAAAAAAAACCTTCTGCTCTTTTACTTATAAATGTAACTTTCATAGCGATAGCTTATCACTTTTGCAAACACTACTTAAGGAATTTAAGTATTAAAAAAATGTTTCGTTTGCATAATCCAGTTATATACAATTAATTCATGCAAATTTTTATTCAGGAAAATATTAGTGGAGACTGAAACGAAATTGACAGTAACACTAATATCAAGACGATCTGTAAATTGTGCTGGTGTACGGTATCTGAAACGTGGTATAGATGAACATGGTCATGTTGCTAATTTCGTAGAAACTGAAGTAGTGCTAACAATTTTTGGCCACTGCCTTTCTTTCGTTCAAGTCAGTATGTTGTTTCAAACACACACTTTAGGAATGTCAAATTTAATAGAAAATGCTTTGTCTGATAAAAATGGTGATAGTGATATTACGATATTTTATTTTGCTTCAATAAACTGTAATATGCGGTTTTCGCATTAAAATTATATATGTTCAGATACGAGGATCTGTTCCAGTTTTCTGGACTCAACAAGGATATCGTTATCGTCCACCACTTGTGATAAGCAAAACATTCACTGATTCTTACCCAGCCTTCAATAAGCACATTAGGAAAATGACAGAAACTTATGGCGCACCTTTAGCTATTGTTAATTTAGTGGAACAAAGAGGAAGGCACGTTCTTGTAATACTCAATTTCATACATTTTTTAATATTAAAAAACCAAGCCAATGGACAGTTGTATTGTTCACTAGTTTGCAATCAATTTATTGTAGAGAAATGCAGCTTGCAGTGAGCTTTCTAGAACATATCCTTCACATGAATTCACCAGATGTTGCCTATTTTACATATGATTTTCATTTTCATTGTCGAGGACTTCGCTTTCACAAAGTGAGTTGTGTTTTTCTACTCTTTCATACCTTTTGGATGTAATACTTGACTAAAAAAAATGGAGTCCATAAATAATTTGCATTTGGTTTATCTCAAAATGTATGAACAATTTTTAATCTCTTATGTTAAATGAAATGTAGATATTCTCTTCAGGTTGCGGAATTGATCTCAGCATTAACTGAGCAAATTTCTACTATAGGTTTTTGTTGGATAGATAAATATGGTGAAATAGTGCGCCGGCAACAAGGTGTTATCCGAACAAATTGTGTAGATTGCTTGGATAGGACCAACGTTGTACAGGTTGAGCTGTCTGGTTTCATTCTGTGCCGATGCTTAGAAAATAAAGTCGGGCAATTTTTAGTGGAATAATGTTTTTTTTAATGGTATGGAAATAAAATTAATAAAGCACACATACTACGACTATTTTTTTGTTTCGTCTATTCGCCCTTTCATCTGTGTTGTCACATTTGTTTTCTATCAGTGTAATTAAAATAATTATAAACTTAGTGTGCAATATCACAAGCATTATGTCTTGTCCAAGCACAGAAACTCGGTATTGTTGGCCCTCAAACAGATGCGCCACTCGATCTTATTCAAGCGTTGCAAACGATGTGGGCAGATAATGGTGATGCCATTTCGAGGCAGGTATAGATCTTTTCTGTCTTTCAAAATTTTCTGTAAATCAGATTGTTTACCTTACATTTTTTACTGCTTTTATACTCAGCGTTTGCATATTTAAGGTATTAAACCAAATATAAAATAAGCAGACATGCAGAATTTAATGTTTTTTGCTTTTTATTGTACGCTTAATATATAAAATGTTAGTATATCCTTGAAGTATGCCGGTACGGATGCCTTGAAAGGGGATATCACGCGAAGCGGTCAACGGAATTTAGTGGGTATGGTTAAGGACGGGTACAATTCAGCTTCACGGTATTATCTGTCTCATATGAGGGATGCGCAGCGACAGCTTGCAGTTGATACTCTCCTGGGTAATTTTAATCATCATTTTACTTAACTCTTTTACGAAAATGTATCTACAGCTGAGAAAATATATGACTGTTTATAATGCTGATAATTCAACTGGCCAATTTCTAAATTTCTCAATTTATTTTTAAGGAAAATCCTTGGATGCAGGCGAATCACATTGTGAACAGTTTGAAGGTGAAGAAGACGAAGTTGAAAGTATAGGTCGACTGGTCCGCGAGGCAATCCTTTTTATCCTTCCTGAGAAAGAAATACTCGTTGGTGGATGGGCCTTAATTGAAGGATCAAATAATACTGATCAAATTGATAGCGTCTTGGTATTGACAAAGTTCGTCTTCGAAATTTTGATTCCTTTCTTTTTTTTTTCAAAACATGGGTATTTTATCGCATCATTTTCTAGAACGACTCTAATAGCTGCTTCTTATGATGACGATACGAAACTTTCGGATGTGAAACATATCAGTTTCGATGAAATTAAAGGTTTAGAATACGGCCGGTTGGGCGGATCATCAAGAACTTATTTAAGGTTAGTTAGACAAAACAATTGTATCCAATACCAAAGATGCAGAGTGATTGAATGGTTGATGGTCTGGGGACGAGAGTGATATAAAGATATGATCAATATTGTTTAGCTTTCGTAAAAATGATGCATTGATTATCTCATATTGTTTTCCGAAAAATTATTTTCAGTTTTGTAGATTATGCTCAAAATCAGGTGAACTATTTACCTGGAGAGCAGCAAAAACGCGTTTGTTCAACAATGTTGCAATTTTACTCAGGACGGAAGATGAGGCAAATGAGTATATTCAGGCAATTGGTGAACAGATAAAGGTGACAATGGCGTTAGCTGGATACGTTGTCAGTTTTTCTTATGTTTCTGTATTGAAGAAGCCTGGAAGAACTGGTAGAAGCAAGTATGTTATTTTTTAAACTTCCATTTTTGATATTTTTTCAAATCTCTCGTATCTATCCTCATAGATGTTATAGGAGAAGAATGATGAATATGGTGGTATCAGTTTTCCGATCTCGAGCTGATTGCTCTACAAGATCACAACTTGAACACGTCACTTTATCGAAGCTGGATAATGATATTGATGATGTGAAAACATCGTCTGTCGAGGTACACATATATTTTCATGTAATCAATACTTTTCTGCTGTCTTTTTAGGATTTCTTTTGCATCCTTTCTATTTTTCTCATCTTTTCATGGATCATGTTCTACTTTAGAAAAATATACGTGCTGCAGATGACATGATTTCAATCATGAATTGTAATTCACCTGATAATTCTGCTACAGTTTCTGCAGAATCTGAAATTTTTAAAGTGAGTGGAAAAAAGAACGATCGATCGCAAAAAAATCAAGATTCACTTGAAGTATCGATTAATTGCTTTTAGACAATTTAGTAATCATTTTCCTCCTTAACTACATTAAAATGAAATTTTGGAAAGGTAATTTACTTACATCGGGATGAAATCGGTTGGGCCATGTTGCTTAATTTAAAGTATAGGCGCTGAATCATCATAAGCTATAAGTAGCTTTAACAGGAATGCTTGATTGACATATCGGTTGTGCACTGAAATCCGATATGAAATTGAGTTCCTCAAATTAAGGAGTCGACATTACTGAAAATAGTGATTAAAATAAAAGTAGAAGTGTGCAAATCAGAGATGAATAAAGGATAACAATTTCAGATGTCACACATGTTTCCATCGAAATCTGATGATCACCTAGCCAGCAAAACCGATGATTTCATTTCACTGCTTCAAAGATTTAAATTGACTTCTTCAAGGAGTAATTGTGCAGTAACCACGAATGTTTCTAATTCTCAGACAGTGAATTTTTCAAATAATCCTTTTTCACAATATGGGCAACAAATTCTTAACTCAAAATCACTTATAATATTGTTATAGATGTTATGTTTATCTTGCTAAGACGTTATCTCAAGTTTTCTGCTAAAAAAATGTATTTGTCTTACTCCATTTATCTCTTCAATTTATGTTTTCTAAAAACCGTTGTGTTGAAACCACAGGGTTTTACCAAGATTATGCGAATATTGATGAAGAAGAAAGATTTGCACGCTTTTCAAATGTGAGAAGTTTCAAGAAATACCAAATTTAACAGCATTATTTTAAGTCTCATTAAGCTCTTATGTAGCGTTTAAAGGCTTGTTACTTCATTTCTTCTATCGCTTTGCATAAAATAAATGTGATCTCTTTCTCATGATGTTGATGGTTAGATCGTTCCATTCAATCTATTCTCCTGTTAGATTTCCAGCGATTAGATTCTTTTGGACCTTCAATCAATGCGAAGTAACCCTTTTTTGCTTATCTGGAATTTGCAATATATATATTGACTGCTTAATAAATGTAACAGATCCATTTATTAGAAGAGATCTTAGTATTCTTGCTAAGTAATATTCAAATTGCAGCTGAATCGGTTCGATTTTGTGGAATTAAATTGATCAGATTCCATCTTTCAATTTAATTTTAATTTTCACCTTTCTGTGTCTAAAGCTTTTCTGATTTTGCAAGTTTTATTTTTTTGATGAATTCTAGCAAAACGCTGCTCTATTCTAGAATATATTAGTTAATGTTTAATCACTTTTGGAGTTGAGAGATTCAGCTTAAGATTTTATTCATTCACTAATGCAGCTTGAGTAGATAGTTTGATGAATTTCACCCAATCATTATTATGCAATCATGCAAGATAATGAATTGAATATAAGGAATGAATCCTAATCAAAAATTTGTTGTGATGGTACATAGAAATGAGTTCAGAATTTCTTAGATGGTTATTGCACGGGTTGAATTCGGCGTGTTTAATCATATGTCCAGACATATTTTTAGGGAAAGGCCATAAAAAACCATAATTGTGAAGAAGTGTTGAGAAGTCCAAGGGGTATATAATTAATGAGTAATTTTGGTGCTTTATCTTTCAAGTTATTAAGATCGCATTTTTTTTGCTTTATATGTCTGCCTTGTTTTATTGGGAATTTGGAGAATATGGAAAATGCTGAGTGTTATGTGATATTAGGTGACTTTCAGGAAAAAGACACGTGTACTTTTTCAGGAAAGTAGAAGAGGGAAGAGGCATGGAGATGAATAGCATTTGCTATTTTCATCCATCACTGTTAAGATCTGAATTTGAGTTAGGGAACTTGTTCAACAACGTTTGAAAATTCATTGATGGGATTAATACTACTTTTGCCTTATTATTAATAAGATCATGCAGTCAGCAATCTAATGATAAGGGAATGACACCCTGTAGATCTCACCCACAATCAAATTCACCTTCGCAAATGGCACTACAATGCTAAGTAATCCTCTAAATAGTTTCAGAAATAAGTTCATCAACTCAACTAATTAAATTCTCAGTTATATGATGGTACTCTTGAAGCAATTACATGTCATTTCTGCTCAGAACTTTTGTTTTAATGGGAACTTGTTTGGATTACGACAGTAGTGATATTCTACTGATTTGACTTTTTTCAGTGATATACTCCATTTTGTTTAACAAAAATAATATCATATTAAATTAATTTTGCAGGAATACCGGTCTTATAAACTTTTCCAGAAATGTATGGAGTGATATTTATACTACTTGCCAGATTTTTTATTGAAAATACGTTAATGAAATTCTTCAATTCAACTTTGCTGTATTTTTTAAATTTCAATTCTTCAATTCAACTTTGCTGTATTTTAAAATGTAGAGTCTTGTTTTCATTGATTGATTTATATAAATCATATGAATCGAAAACATAAATCAGTCAAAGACAGGATTCTACATTATATCATTATCATTAATATTATTTTTTCTACATTACATACATATCTATATATATATATCTTGTTTTGATTTATAATATTACTACATGCTATCTGTTTGAGGCACCAAACTAATGCAGTTAAATGTTATTTGAATGATATAAGAATGTCTAGACACACTGTCTCAAGGAGTTATGTTCTACAATTATGGAAACTTAGATAATATTAGGCAAATATAATTAATTAATAGGATGATAATTCATTCATTGATAAGTGTTACGTATAGTAATACTGAGTGTTTCATTTCGGGAATGTTTTTATAAATCATATTAATGCTTAGAAAATTCGATTGCATCACCACTTTACTAACATAAGGCGAGCTACCCAACTAACACAAATATATTCGAAATGTGAATACAATCAACCGGATACCTTTTAAATTTTCAAAATAAAAAAGCACATAAATCAATAGGAAACGTATTGCGGTTTGTGCAGTTTAATTAAGCATTTTAATAAATGACGGTGTAGATTGATTGAAGTGTCATGGAATTTCGTCAAACTTCATTAGAAGCTTCATGAATTAACAACTCATCGGTCTAGCATAACATTCTGCAGGAATATTTTTATGTCATTTCAAATTTTAAATTTCATTTATTAGCATTTATTTAATGAGGGAGCATAACTTCACATACCGTAGTTCTTGAGGATCGAATTTTAATGTTACCTATCACTTCAAACTGTATTTAGTTAAACGATTAGCTGTGTATTTTAATTTTTACTTCATGGTTACTGCATGTTTCTCGCAAAGTTTTTACATCAAAGGTTTTACTGAGAAAGAAAATTGAGAGGGTGCTTTCTATCCTCTACAAATTTAATTTACCATTATGATTGTTTCATTCATTAATCTATCGAGGTCAATTTATTGTCTAGAATTCAAGTCATGATTGATTGAATTGGCAATGATTTTAGGGAATATACGGGTGCTATTGGGAATGTTATGCTATGGACGACAGCATTATAGATGACATTACTGTCGGCTCAGATGAAACATTTTTTGATTAATTCTCCAAAGTGTTTATTGGGGTCATTCTCTTACCACCAGAAGTGACATCAGACTTCTGTTCATTTTGTCATTTTTTACTCATTTAACAGTAAATCTCGTTTTGTTAAATGTTGTAATAAAATGGAAGGAATGCAAACAGATAAATCACCACCTGGCACTATACTTTCTGTAATTGTCTTTTATGAGTTTTTAAATTTCATGACTCATCCATTTTTGCTCCTACGACTGTTTGCACTTTCGTGCTACCATTGCAGCCGACAACAATCATCAAAAGCGGATATTTTCTTGAAGCTCATTGGTCCTCGTGATTCCTCCCATTATCGATTCACTGATTTGATATTTTATGTATAGCGTTGAAACAGTAATACATCATGATATGATTGTTTTGTTTCTTCAAATATTTGATCATATCGTTGATTCTGATGAATTTCTTCTTGCTTATGTTTATTTTTGGTTGAAAAATAGCAGCAAGAAATTCACTTCCATTAATCCAAGTATTATTGTACGTTGGTAAAGTCCAGGAATTAATTTCACCAAAACAATCAATTTCTTTTACTTTAATCATGTGAACATTTTGTCTATTAGCACTTTTTTGGTTTCATTCTGTACACTGCTCCGAATATAATGACATATGTCAGTTGATATCTTCGCTGTTGCAGTTGATAAGCATCTAACCAAATTAATAAATATGTTATCCAATATTATAATATATTTCGTTCCCATGGATAAATGATACATTATCGATCAATAATTTTACTTTAACTGCCTGACATGAAGACTAGTTATTGATCTAAAAAAGTAGAATCATATCATTTCGGGAAATGAAGAAAGTCTAATTTGGGATTTCATTGAATTTTTCGTTATTATTGAATTTTATGCAGTTACTTTGTCATTTTACATGATTGTGAGTTATTTCTCGAGCTTGTATCAGTTATACTTTTCAGAATGGTTTTTGAAAGTGTGGTAGCCGAAATTCTAAACCGTGTGTTGGGCAATTTTGTTAACAATCTTGATGCATCACAGCTAAATATTGGTATATGGGGTGGTCAGTTTTCTATTTGGTGATTGAAATACAAAGTTAAAAGCGTGTCAAAAAGCTTTGAAAAAGTCCTTAGTTTTTAGGGCGATCTGTATCGACATATTATGAGAATATAAAACATTTTGTGATTGCTAGTCATTCGATTTATCATTGATTATTTTTTAAGCATAATATTTTAGGTGATGTAAAATTAACAAATTTGGAAGTGAAGGAAACAGCATTGGATGATTTCGATCTACCAGTAAAATTAAAATTCGGCTGCCTTACAAGACTTGTTTTGAAAATCCCGTGGAGTGATCTATATCGTCAGCCAGTTATTGCTGATATTGAAGGTTTCGTTTTTGATTCAATATATATTTTATATAGGTCTGAAGTTTTCGGATGAATTTACTTTTTAATAGATACCGATCTTCATTATCAGTTATTTAACTATGCTTTTCGCAATTAGTCTAAAAGCGACTAATTAAAGCTAAAAAGAAATAAAAAGAAATTAAGAGAAGGAAGTCCATGCTTTGTTTGTCTATCGTTTTATTCAGAAAACATATACATTTTGGAATGAATCTTAATCTTTATTTTAATTTGTATTTTGCTCATCACATCTCTCGAAATACTTCTGTAGGCTTAAATTTAATTGTTGTGCCAAACAAAGGCGTCGTGTATAATGAAGAAAAAGTAAAGAAGCATGAGAAAGAGGAAAAGGACAAGGCACTTGCAAGACTTGAAGAAAACAGAAGGCGAAGAAGGAGTAAGTTTTGAAATTTTTTTATGACCATGAATTTACTTCTATAATCCCATACTCGAAGTATACTATGAGTCATAGTTAAAGCGATGCATAAACTGTAATTAGGTGAGATTAAGCGGAAAAGAGTTATTATGGGATGCCAAAGAAGGTACTTAGATCTTATAAATCATTTATATAGAAATTTAAGAGTTTGTGAGATTACATTTTTGCTTTTTAGTTATAGAGTTTTAAAAAAACTTCCAGAGCCGCCAGATCTCGCTTCTGATTCATTCGCGGAGAAATTTGTTGCTACAGTAATCAAGAATTTACAAGTAAAAGTTCGTAATATACATATTCGCTACGAGGATAAGTATTCGCATCGTAGTCGTCCATTTGTAGTTGGTGCTACTCTTGAAGGAATAGATTTCAAGGTACAATCATTTGCTGGAAGATAAAATTGTAAATTTAAACTGTTTCTGCAAAGAATGGTTACTGAGCAGAATTTTCAAACCTGCTACGTAATGGTATTTTACATAGCGAAGATTTTTTTTTACACAACTTTTTTGCTCAAGGAGTTAGAAAAAATCGAGTAAGGTTTTATTAAAATCAGCAAAAAGATTTTCTGGCATTGTTAAGTTTTCTTTATTCCGTTGGCTAGAAAGTTGTATTAAATACAAGTGATATAGCTAATATAGATTGATAGTTTACCCACTCTCTTTGAGGACTAAGTTGAAAAATATCGAACGAAAATCACATTAATATTAATTTGAATGTGAAAAGTTGTATATAACGAGTATTCTGCAGACTACCGATGAAAACTGGAATGAAACTATACATAAAGAGGTTGTGAAAATTGTTTACAAATTGGTATCATTAAAAAATCTTGCAATTTATTGGAATTCTGATTCTGAATTAGTGTCTGACTTAACTGATAATGCTGCCATTTCGCAAGCAATGAATGATGCTATTATAATTGGCAACAAAAAGCCATCTGGATACAAGTACAGTAAGTCTTTGTTGGATTTGTGCTTTCAAAAAGGGTTACTGCGGCATAAAAAGTTTAGTGCAAGATCATTTTAAAAACGTTCATTCAATTTTCTAATCCTTGCTGTGCGATTAGATTATTTTGTCAATGTTTATTATATCCTTAAATTTTTTACACTTCGTTCCTTTATAAGGAGCACTAAATTTTTCAGTATATGTAATTGTTCCTGTAAACAGTTTAAAAAATTTTATGACGAATTTACTGAATATTATTTACTGTCAATTAAACTTGCAGTGCTGGAACCAATTAACATGCAAGCAAAGCTTGCATTAAATCAGAAGCCTGAAACAGATAATTCTAATTGGACGATACCGAAGATCAAACTTATTCTGGATGTGGATACATTGGCTGTTGCAGTTGGCAAATTTCAATATCAAGATCTATTATTGCTGTTGGAAGCACAAGAAAGATTCAGAACTGCTGCGCAGTATCTGAAGTATCGTCCACATTTGAATAACTACAAGGGTCATTACAGAAAATGGTAATTTCCAGAATTTTTTGATTGGACTTTCTAAATGGTGATTTTCTTGAATTTTTAATAGGACATTAAAAGGTAGAAGGCGGCTTGATACGGTCGTAAAGAATTTAGTTTGAGTTGAATATTGAAAAGATTAAAACATGGGAAGCAGCTTTGATTTGCTTCTTGTGCAGTTTTGTTTATACTTCGAATATTTGTTTGTTCAGGTGGCACTTTGCTTACAATGCAACTGTTGAGGAAATTGTTAGAAGGCGGAGGAATAATTGGAATTGGGAGAGAATGAAGAAGCATCGGGAATCAGTTAAAGCTTATAAAGATGCTTGGTTGAAAAAACAAACTGAGAAAAACCTTAGCAGCAAAAATCGAAATATTATTGAGGTAAGTTCGGAATAGACAAACCATGCGAATCGTCTGTACAAAATTCTTGATTCTATATTATAGTTGTTCAGTGAAGTTAAAATTATCTCCCGCTCGGTAAATTTAAAGCTTAGAAATATTTTCTATTGTGCTTTGATATTATCGAATCGTTGTACAGTTATAAGGAAGCCCAAATAGTGTTTTTGTGTGAGACAACAGCATAAAAGCTTGAACAACAGCATGAAACTGCTTTGGCTGTCCCTTGGCATGTGTTTATTTCTGTAATGTTTGAGATTAAAACATGTTATTTCTTTGAATAATAAACTATTGAAATAAACTGATGTGCGAATTAATCAGTTTTTTATCACAGTATAGCTTTGTTGCACATGGTTTAAATCTATTGTGCTAATCTTTGTCTGTTAATATCTTAGTAGTATTTCACAACATTACAAATTAGATACACTGTCTAGTATTTAAGCCATAACTTGTTTTAGGAAACCGAAGAGCATCTTGATGTGTTTAACTTGAATATTGCTCGGCAACAAGCTGATATGGAAATCGATAGGCGCGGCTTGAAGAGATTAGAGGATCAACCACAAGGATGGATAAGTTTGGCTAAAAGCTGGTAAAATATACTGAATTTTTATCTGAAATTTTTTGAATTTATTTGTGAATTGCCTTCTCACTTTTTTATTCACAAGAAGCTTGGACAACTAGTGCCTAATTTGGAATAAAAAAAAAGAAAAACTGAATGTTTGGCATGAAGAATAAATTTTCCTTCTAATTGTTTTAGGTGGAGTGGTGGCGGTGATGTGAAAGAAAAAGAGAGAAGTGTAGCACAGTCATCAGGTGATATTATGACAAAGTTTGAGGAAGCCTTGACTGTAGAGGAAAAGGCTAAATTGTTTGATGCTATTGATTATCAGGTTGGTAACTTGCTTTTCATTTAGAACTTGAACTTCAAGATTCAGTATGTAAGGAATGAAAAATGCATCACTTTTTTTAGGAAAACACCCCCCCAACTGATTACCCGAAATACTTCGTGGAAAATGTTGTCATCGCCAATTTGAACCTACTTATGGTTGTAATCGAAAATGCTTTAACATTAAAGTTCTCTATAATTACCACAAGGATAGAACATCGAGCATCAGCTCAAGCTATCAAGTAAGTAAACCGACTATGTTATAATGAAAAGTAAGGCAAATGAAAATTACTGTAAAATTAGAAACTATCCGGTTTTTCATATGATAATCGATAAATAACAACTTGTTCAAAAGGAGAAAGCAAGAGAAAAATGAACTGAAATTGTGCTTGCAGTGGATTTTAGATGAGATTACACGTGGTAGTTTCCCATTAAAGCAGTTATATTTTGTAGCCTTGAAAGTGGTATAAAAAAGGTAGCAATGGATGGCTGTGGACAACAGGTTTTGTTCGTACAAGATGATTCCATTGATTGGTTAACAGTGCTTGTGGAAACTAATCCGTTGGATCGTGATAAAGTTGGATATGACCAGTATATCAAGGTTGCTTTAGCACCAACGGTTATGAAATACCATGCACCAGCTATTAACACTGCTGTCGAAGCATTAAGACCTCCTGAAAGTGTGCGGCTGAATCAGTAAGTTTTTCAGTCTTTTTCAAACCAAAAGACGAAAAGCAGTTAAAGATTAATGCATGTTCTCTTTATGTACCTAAGCATAGTGAATTCTTTTTGTGATAAAAGTGCTAACAGGAAAGATATGTCAGATAAACAACATTTATATTTTAAAAAAAAATGTTATATTGAAAAGAAGAGGCTGTTTTATATTAAAAAAAAATACTGTCAACTTGTCATAAACAAAGAGTCTTATTTTAGATTAACGGCAGCAGCAATGGCGCGTTACGAAGATGTTAAAGCACGTTCGCTTACCGGGTTGGCTCATGTTGTGGATACTAGGACGAAATTAGTACTTGATATACGAATTGCACCTCTGACAATCGTCATCTCAGAAAATGGAATATTCAATAAGGAAAAGCAAAATTTGATTGCAGATCTTGGTTTGCTTACAATAACTACAGTGGAAAATGATTCATTTGTGGAAACATCGATGCTTGGTAATGAAGTACGTTTTGTATTCATATCCGTTTGATAAGAGCACGATTGTTTGGTTATTTTTGCATTACTTCAATACACTCTTGCGCTGTAACGACGGCCATAATTTGATTTGCGTGATAGTTTAATTTTTATTGCTTTTTGATAGATCCAGATGATAATTTCTGTTATATCATACTGTTTGTGTTTCCTTATAATTTGAATTTCCACTCATATTTTTTATGATTGCTGTTGTCATGCTCAATTAGTCGTTTTTGAGACAAGTTTGAGAAGGCTATTTCAGGAGATTGTCGTAAAAAGTTGCTCCTTTTGCTGCAGGGATTCTTAATTTGCAAGGAAACTTCGAGCATAATTCGTTAACTTTCAGGAAGCAGAACGCCGAGCAAAGTTGCTTAACCGTGCATACGATAAATTTTCTGTGAAGTTAACCGGTGTACAGTTGATATTTTCGGACAGCTATCAAAGTGGCATGGATGCAAAATTGGAACCTAAATCGAATTTCCATTTGTTACAACCAACTGGATTGAATGTCGCTTTTCATAAGTCATCCATCGACGACTTACAGTTACCCAAGTAAATTTCTGTATATACATTAGTTTTTCTTTTATACTATGAAACACATCCATCTCTGACAAAATGCTAACGGTGTGATAGCTCTAGAGATTCAAGACATTCTTCATCTCTCATTGTTGTTTAGAGCAGCATATGTCTTATGATTTTCTTTTATTTCATACAAGATTCATGAGAGCAAGTTTATCAGTTACACAAAGTTATGTTCAGGATAAAAATAATGGGTGAATTGCCTGATATTATCATATCGATCTCAGATGAACGTTTACTGGAACTTGTAAAATTGATATTGAGCATTCCGACTCCTGCTCCCGAAAAGGAAATCAATGCTTTGGGTACAGCTTTTCCTCCAGCTGAGGTATGCCCTGTGATTCATGTTATATAATTTTTGTGAGCTAAAAAGAGTATTCATAATGAGTTATGTTAGTGCGTTTGCTTTCTTTTTCGATATCGCCTAATGAGAATTCCTATGTGGTAGTATTCAAATATTATATGACGCACTTTATTTTTGTAGTTTGAGAAAGCAAGAATCAGAGATTTGGCAACGATGCACGCCATCATGGAGGCCAGTGAAATCTCAGAAGCTGAAGAACACCTGGAAATAAAGAAGAAAGATCTGCAGAAGCAAGAAGAGAAGAAAACTGATATGCAGCAAGTCCAATTGGAAGTTAATCTCACATTGAAACAGGTTAAGATCTCTTTTTCTAACTTCATTTCCACAGCTTTTGGTTGATGATCTAGAAATTCAAATGTTTGGAAAATTAATGGAAGCTATAGTTTATTATTAGCAGTTCGAAAAATAGGAGATTAATTTTTTTTTTTATTGAAATTGTATTGCAGGTCCAAATTGTCATTGGCACTCCGGATGCAGTATTTTTGTCCGTACAAATTAGATGTTTGGGTTGTGGTTTGCAGATGCGTACATTCGATATGGTTGCAATGGCTTATGTAGGTGATTTAACAATCGAGCAACCGCAATATAAAAGTTTGATTCCCGGACATGACACGTTATTTATTATTGGCAGTGCTTATAATGACACTGAGCAAAATTTGCTTCAGTTCAAGTATGTGCAGGTTAGTTGTTTTATATTAACTGCTGTCGTTTCCATCTAATTACAATAGCGTTGAATAAATTATTAATATAAAAATGAATTTCGTTTTTAGGATAATATTCATCAGAGAGCACTATTCAGTTTGTATTTTTTGCTAAAATTAAACCATTTACTTACATCTCTTGCGGAGCGTATGCTGATATTTTTTTCTTGAATTATAAATATCTTGTTATTTTTAGGCAAATAAGGAAAGCCCGTTCTTCGCAACAGAGTATAATTCTACAGAGCAAGCGATCGATATTTCTTTCAAAGCAATGACTGTATCGCTTCACCAGGTTTACTTGTTTTGCAGTCTTAATGTTCTTAATGATTCAAAGGATATGACCGTATTTTTTTGATTAGAGTTAGCAATGAAATGGATATATTAGAATTACTAAAAGAAATTAATTGTGTTGGGTTATTGCGATTCATGTAATTGCAGTTATATTTAAGGATGCCATAATTAGTCTGAAAAAATATTTTGAAACGCTTCAAGCAAAGATTGCTGAATTGCAAAATCAAGGGAAATCGGCACAAAATCAAGGTTATGAAGGTGATGCCGAAATATCTATCGATGATATCTTAACACCCCACGAGAAGAAAATGATAGTTTCGCATTCTTCAAGTCAACAAAGGTTAGCAATAGTGTTTCGAGAATCGTCTATTTCTCTTCCTCACTTTCATTAACTTACTTATATCTTGAAGCACTGGATGATGACAATGAAATAAAAGAAATGTTCGAAACATTGAAGTAGTAAACCATATTTTGACTTGTAGTCTTGTAAGAAAAAAACATTCCTATATGTTTCATTAATTCATCTTTGAAAATTAATGTTGGTTGACGGTTTAATTTTGAAGCAAAATCAGAAAGTATATGATCACAAATATCCAGGACTAATGAACAAAAAAGACACTTGAATTTGTTAAAAATAATATGTTATAGCTTGGCTAGACCATTCGCTTTCGAATCGTTAAAATTAAGTCATGCAAGGCGTGAACGAGAACTAGCACAAACGCGATATGATTTCATTGTCAAAATGAGTATAAATGCTGTTTTTGATGCCCTATCGGTCTATGTTGGTTCAACAAAATGCTTGGATACGGCTTTAAGCATCAATGTTGTGAAGGTCGCTATAACAATGCGTGTGGTTTGTTTTAGAATTCAATTCAGCTAATAAGGAATTTTTGTGTAAGAAAAACCGCGCTGTGCAACTAAGATAATATTTACATTTTGTCTGACAATGGTGTTAAGTGCTTTTTTGATGAAGAATGATGACATTTGGTTTGGGTTCTTTTTTAATTCTAGTATAATATAGGATTAAAATCCTAATTGTAGACTAATCATTAGAAAATGCAGAGAACAATAGAGGTGGAAGGTGGAGTCAAAACGATAGCAATGGAAGATCGGACTGGAACAACAATCCATAAACAGTTGCTGGCTCTTTGTGAAGAAGGCAAAGAGATGGTGTCATTTACTTTCAAGCAGTACAATCGTACAGACGCTGAAAAGAAACATATGCAACCCTCTGATCTCGATTTCTTTATTAAGGGACATTTTGCCCGTATTCGTTTCGTTCTTCTTTTTCTTTGGCTTGAAAGAATGAAGGTATGTTATCTGCCGTATTTGAATAAAGCTGTAGATCACAGATTGTTAGAGTAAAATATGACAGGTGCATTTTTAATAGTAGCATTATGTTACCGTGTTTCGTTTCGAAAACTTCTTTATTGCATGTTATTTTTCTTTGATTAATAAACTACTTAAGACGCAGCTTATTATACCTATTTTTTCTTTATGCCATCATTTTCGGTACTTTAACCGTATAGCGGCTTTTTCAATAACACTATTGTTAGTTGATTTTTATATCGCTTTCAGCGTTTTGCTGTTCCATTCCAAGCTGAGGCTGCGCAGGTTGCAGCACAGGCGCAATCATATGCATCTGAAAAGGCATCACAGGCTGCACGAAAGATTAAACATCTTATGGAAGAGTCACCTTTGAGGATTGGTTTGAATATTGAACTTGCAGCACCGACAATTTTGGTACCAAAAAGCTCTATGTCGCTGAATGCCCTCTTTATTGATTTTGGTACGATCATGATAAAATTCAGTGTAATTTGTTAAATACATAAGTATTAGTCGGCGTTTTTAAGCATTCTTTTACTAGCAAAAAATCCCTATTTATAGCAGATAGATGTTAGAAAACTCAATTTGAATAAATAAATGTGCTGATTAGAGGGCATTACAAGAATTCTTTAAGGTAAACAGGAATTTTTTAGGCAAGCTTACTGCTATTAATTCAATCTCAGCAGCGCAGAATGAACGCAGAGCAATTATTGATTCAATGCAAATCAATTTAACTGATGTCTGCTTTGGCATGTAAGCTTGCATTCTTTCCTCTGCTTAAAGATGCAGTCTAGAACTTTTTCGTAAGTTAATGGAAAACTAAAAACCTTGTAGTGCAGGAAAGCGAAAGAAAAAGCAGTGAACACAAAAGGATGTGTGACAAAGAATAAATTTTTGAAGAGAATATAGAATCCTGGAAGTTCTAAAGCAGAAGAAAATAATCTGCAACTGAAATCCTGCATTTGATGCTTGAGGGCATTCTGAGGTATAGAGTGCCTCAGAGCTGCAACTTTTGTTTTCTCTTGACGATCTATTTTCAGCTCATTTCTTTCGGAAGAAAATGTAGAAGTGTTATCAACGTGTCAAATTTTAAAGCCAATCACATTTTCATTATTAGTTTACCGAAATTTGTCTTTTGAATGGTACAAAACAGCCCCACAGGTGCTCGTTGATGCTCACTTGCCTATTATCGAAGTAATAATTTTTGCTAACTAGAAAACAATTTCGAAAATTTTCATGTTCTTCATTGATTTGCTTGATTTCCCGGTCTTTGGAATCATTATTGATAGCGAGACATTAGAATCAATATTACTGATAATCCTGGATTTTAGTAGTTTTGAGTTTAAATAACCATCTTACTGTTTTTTTTTTCAAGTTATTGGATAAAAACGGATTCTACTATTTGTTGACGAAGTGTTTGTATTTTGACAATCGAAACATATGGTCTTTATGGTAAAGAAGCTGTATCTTTTGTAACTATAAATGCACGTATGATGTCCTGCATGATGCGAAAACAGTTATTTCTCATAATCGTGGTTGTTTTATAACCATAATTGCAGATGGGCATGACAGAAGAAGATTATGCGACAATCTTGAAAACACTAAGTGGCAACTTGGCGGAAGGAAGCGAATTATCATCGGAGCCATCACCATCTGTAAATCGTTTAACCCGGCGGGAAAGAAATGCTGCTGAGAGAAGGCAGGAATCCACTGAAAAAGCTGTATCAGAAAGTGGTGGGAGTCCAATGAACGATTCTAAGGCGAAATCTCTTGTTTTCAGTTTCAAATTGGATGAAATTGCTGCACTCTTATATCGTGGTTCCTCAAATTTGGTCTGTGCTTACGAGAAATTTCTTTTTTGTTATATGGGTTTGCTGCGCTGCAGTCCAATTTTATAATAATAATGAAGATTTTTTTTGTTAATAATTTCGTCGAAAGATTTCTTTTTTGTTGATTTTCCTTCACTGAAGATATTTTTGAGAACGTGTCGGTAGATCTAGTTAGTTTGGTCTCATAAGTGCTGGCAAAAGCAGTAGTGGATGATGCGCCGTCGGGATCAAGTAATTTGTTATCCCCTTTAGGAGGATTCAAAGGGTGAAATCGCTCGGAAAACGACAGCAGGTTTTGCAGCAGTGAGATTGAAAAAAATTAAATTGAGTGGTTCAAGAGCGGAAAATGGTGAATTGGATATTGCTGTTAGCTTGGAGGTATTTGTCATGGATGATGAAAGAAACGAAAAAATCAAAACACGTCGACTACTGGATAAAAAGGTAAAGTTTTGCAGTGCCACGTGGCGTAATCTACATCGAGGTGTTGGAACATATTTTTTTTAAAGTGTTGCCCTTGGAATGTTAAGATTGATAGCTACTCAAATTATAACATTTTTGAAAGAAACAACGGTGAAGTTCATTGATATATCTGCCAAGCATATTTAAAGATGGTTCGCTTTCGCAATATTTTCATAGTCATATTTCACTCATATTTTCATATTTTCAATCACATATTCATTTTTCACTTTTCACTTTTTCATAGTGAGTAAAAAAATTGCATAAGAAATTTCGAAAACGTTTGTTTGGTAATTTACAGCCTGATAGCGCTGGAAAAATTCAGAAGGAGTTTGTCGTTGCTCGTTACCAGACTACTGCAACAGGAGACAAAATCAGTTAGCTTGTTTTGTATTTTTCATGGTTAATTCAATTTAATATATATCATATTGCTAAAAACTGATGGACAGTGCTCTTCTTGTATTGTTTCAATACATTTTTATTGCATTCTAGACATTCCGTAAAATAAGGAAAAAACGGAAGCATTTCCATCTACAGCTTATCTGTGTCAGATTATAAAAGTCAGTATTGTTCAGAAATGAGAAATGAATAAAGCTGAAATTAAGAAGCTTTGAGAATTTTTGTGTTGTTTTCGTTGTTTTTGATGTTAAATAAATCTTGTTTTGCAGTTGCTTTCTCATCGTCGGCTTTTTTCCTGCGCCTTTCCCCAGAATTTCTAGGAGCACTAATGAACTTTTTTACGGTGAGAAAAACACCTGAGGAATTAGCAAGAGAGGTTGAAAAAGTGAATATTCCAAATATTATGCAAAATAAGGAAAAAGTAGAAACGATTCCATCAAGAGGTTAGTCTGCATCAAATAATTAGTTCTGGAAACTTCATTAGGCTACATCTCTCTTTCAAAACTATTACATCTGTTAAGAAATCAAATAATTTGCTAGCTAGTGGTTGAAAACATGAAAACATCAAGTAATTCTGGTATTACTGTCAGACCTGCTACAGCTATTTCAGAAGTTATATAAGAATGACCATTCGCTATATTTTTAAAATGGAAGTTGATAGTTTTGACTGATTTTTATAGGTACGGTGACGATGAATTGTATAATGCATGAAGTAGAAATTATTCTGGTTGATGATGCTATCAGTCCTGAAAACTCCCAGGCACTAATTCTGTCCTTTAACGTCGATCTCAAAGCAAATCCGGTAAGAAAAACCCTTTTCATTCAATTGAAATCATGTTAAATCTTGTTCTCACCATTTATTATGAAAATCTTTGTTTGTAGAATAGGGAGAGGTTACGTAAGAATTTGAAGTTAACTCAATCAGCAGAGATATTATGATATTGATCGGGCTCAAGATGGAGAGAAAAATTTTAACTTTCAATGTTTTTCTTATGCAGTGTCTAAAGGACTTTGGAATTTTTTTTAGGACGGCGAAAAGCAGATTATGATTGGTGGCATTAGGAATTTGCAGATCATAAACACTTATTCTTTGGATTTGAAACGTGATCAAACTCCTTATCAGGTATTTGAGAAATTTCGTAAAATCACCCAATGTAGAATTCTTTTTAATATATCTTGCCCTTTCTAATTTGTTTTTTGAAAAATTCTAATTACATTTAAGATAAAAGCAAAGCTACTTCTATATTTCTACCATTTCCCAACATTTAGGTATTAAAACGCACGGATATTGATGTCCAATTAACAACGGAGCAAAAAACGATGTCTGAAAATTTTATAATACATATTGGACAGTTATACCTGAAAATATCTCCTGCCATAATCCGTTTCCTAAGTACTGTTTCTTCGAATTTTTTATCAGCAGCTAATGTTAAGGTGAGCTCTTCGAAGATTCTCATTTTTTCATTTCAACTACAGTGGAAATTCTTTCGTAAAAGATACGCAGTAATTCTAATCTTGGCATTTGATTAGAAACAAAATAGTAAATGAATGAGAAGGCAAATGGCATATATGCTGTTCACTCTGTTTTTGTTTGAAAGAAAGACTCTTCAGGATGATTCGTTTACTGCGCCGAAGACAGTGCTTAAGAAGTACCCAAATTACTGGGAGAAACGTAAAATCGACAGGAGCAAGCACTGGTGGTTCAACGTGGTGGAGGAAAAACAAGAAGATTTTGAATATGCAGTGGATATTGCTGCTTCTGTCAGCCATGAACAGCAGGTAGTTTTGATTACTGTAGCACAAACAATTTTTCAAGGAAGTTTTAAAATGTATATAAAGAGTGAGTGTTTTTGACTACAATATTAGTGATGAAAATTAAAGGAGTAAGAAAAAATAAAAGACAGCGAAATGAGAAAATTGTGAGAAATATTAATCACAAAGCTTATTAAAACAATAGTTTATTTCTTCACTTTTGTTTTACGTATTTTAATTTCTTTGTTTTCGACGATATCGAAGTTTATATAGGGAACTATTACAATGGAATCACTTATCGTCACTTTGGAAGTCGGTATGGAAAGCAGGACAGTACCAATGGTACTTTTGGAAAGTTCGATGATAATCACTGCATCACAGTGGAGTACGCTAATGGCTATTGATGCCGACATGCAATTTCAGATAATTTTATCATTTTAATTTATTTAGCTAATTTACTTTATTCTGTATTCATTTATCTCAACTTTGGCATCTCATGCACCAATACAAGCTTTCATTTGAAATATTTTTTGTCCTTTTTAATTCTTATTCTACTGATTTTTGCTACTCATGAATATATTTAAGTTAAATTTCAGATTTCATATTACAATGAAACATTTTGCGTATGGGAGCCCATAGTCGAACCAGTAGAAGTGGGCGACAACATTTGGAAGAGCTGGATTTTGAAAGTTGAGGTGAAGAAACGTAGAATTTTACTTCTCGTTGATTTTATTTTATTTTGTGCCTTGAGTCATCATTTAATTTGACTATTAGTTGAAAAAAAAAAATTATTCTACCCATCTCTTGAGTATTTGACGAATTATTGCCTTCTGTTGCCTTCAAACTATTGCCTTTGAGACAATAGTTCAACTATTGCCTTTGACTAACTATTGCCTTCTGTTGCCTTCTGTTTTAAACCTATATCTTATCAGGGAGAATAGCGTATTATGGAATGGTATAATTTTTGCAGTTGCGAACTCATAATGAAGATGAATTGTTAACAAATGGTGCTTTGCCATTACCACAGAGAACAATTAATGTAAAAGCATCAGAATTGCTCAACATAACAATAACAAAATCGCTGATTTTATTATCTTATTATCTCATGGATTCTTTCGCGAGAGCTGCAAAACTGATTTCACCACCTACGGGGCGAACTTTCCCAGGCAGTAGTAAATATTTGGTATTCAATAGTGCTGGCATTTCCACCAAAATTGGTAACACAGAGACATTGATTGTAAGTTATCATCTGATTATAAGTTATCATTTGTAAGATCGTAGGACTTTTTAATTTTATATCGTATTTTCTATTAACATAAATCTATTCTTATTCCCATATTCATTAGAATCTTTTACAGCAAACATTAATAATCGATTTATTCATTATGAATAAGATAATATATTCGTTTTCTTTCTATGGGAAATATTTCTGATTTATTTTCGCTGTTTCTTCAACTTGAAGTTTATAGATCAGCGTTGATGGAGAACCGATTGATGCAACGCCGTGCAAGTTCGTTGATTTAAGTGTTCCCGTCGATCCCAATGAAGAGATAGGCCTCACACAAAGCCAGATTGTAAAAAAAGCGGAACTCCTCCTCATTTTTGATGAAATAGATGCAGAAAGATATGTAAATTTTTCCTACAATTCATTCTCTTTCATCATTTATGTGCCAATTACCCTACTTATGATGAAATGACAAACTATTTATGACGAAGTTATCTTGTATATTGTGATTACATATATTTTTTCCTATTTTTCATTTATTTCTTAAAATATAGGTAAACATAATGAGATCTGAATCGAGAACCTTTGAACTGCCAATGAAAAGTGATAGTGGAAAACAATGGAAAGTGGTTGTAGAAACAAAAGTGGAAAATATGCGACGACTTATTTACCTTCATTCTATAGTGCAGGTACAAGTTTATCAAACCTGTCAAACATCTGCAGGATTGTAAACCTGTAAGATCTTTCTGAGTTATCAGTTGCAAACCACCAGTAAAATTTTCTTGATCAGTCGAAAAGAACATAGGATTTTTACTGCAGTATTTCATTCAAAAGATATGCTAGCAGCTAATGATTCCTATGTTTTTGTGATTTGTAGATTTCTTATTTCTAAATATACTGAAAATTAGTTTTCTAACAATCACAGCTCTATGTTTTTAACTGTAGTTTGTGAATCACATGGACATACCATTCGAAATTTATTCAATGCATGACGGGAGGCTTGATTTCTGTGGTATCGCAGAAACGGATGGTGAACCACTTGATATTTCTTTACCGTTATTGTATACAGCTACTGGCGAATTGTTTATCAGACCTTCGCAAGATGATGCGTAAGTTTTCCTATACTTATTTTTGTCTTTTTTTGGCACTATTAATCTGACGAGAATTTTTATCATTTCAGCTATGAAATGAGCAACGAATCAGTTTGCTGGAATAAGTTTGAAGACAAGGCACGATACATAGTACGATGCGACTTATCAGAAGACATGAAGCAGGGCTTGTTCGTAGCTTTGATTGTTGAAGAAGTGCCATTGAAAGCAGAAAGAAGCAGAGATTTTGACGATAATAGTTATATAATGCACATTTTCTCACCTCTCACTCTGCATAACTTCTTACCTTTTCCTCTACAACTTACTTCTCCGGTAAGCTGTGTTGAATCAGTGTAGTTTTCGGTATATGCTAACGGTTGATTGCAGTAGTAAAATACCATATGTTTACTTACTCAGTATCGAAACAAATACTTCGAATGTACAAAAAAAATTAGGGATTGAAAAGAAGGTTGAATAGCTACATAATGATCGAAACCAACACTTTGTTGATTTTAGACACAGAAGGAGTTAGCTGGTGGCGAAGAAGTCTCACTAAACGTCATTCCAGGGCAGAATTTTAATTTTGAAGTATCTTTAATATCATATCATCTAAAAATTTCTTTTATATGAATCGCTGTTTTAATCATGTTCGAAGTTTTGCAGTGTTTCTATATCTAAAATATTCGATTTACGAGCGTCTTAATATGTAGCTGAAACTGATTATTATGTTCATTAGGTGAATTATCGTGGAGACCTCTATGTAGCAGAAATACCTTTTCCTGTGGAACACCAGGATTTAATGGTCATTACACTTACATCCGGTAAGAAGATTTTGGTAAGTACAATTTTATTAATGAGTAGGTGGTCAAAACTTTTGGAGGTATAGGCAATACCATCCAAATTGTACCGGATTGAGTTTTAATTTGATAGATTCGAACAAAAAGCGTTTTAATTTATGTTGTAGAATCTCGGCGTTCACTGGACAGTCGCTCATCGTAAACTTGATGCTGAAGTATATGCACCTTATTGGTTCGTTAATAATACTGGAAGAACTGTTAGATTTAAGGTAATGACTTTAAGTATGCTTCGCGGTATCTCCATTTCGTTTTTCTGTTCTATAAAAAACAAAGAGATCCGGGATTTACTAAAACCAAAATGATGCTTGGTCATAGCTTTGTATTTGAAACTTTTTATTACGAATGTGTTTACTAAAATACATATGTACTTTTCTGTTTTAGTTTCTTATTACAATTTTATCGGTGAAGCAAGTAGTCCTATTCAGGAAAGCAGTAAGAGTATAATTGAAAGAACTACAAAATGTGTACCCTGTCAGAAAGGAAAAATGGAAGACGAGGTACATATTTGCTTCTTACTCCTTGTGCTCTAACATCTGACTTTCTCAAGATTTTATATTCCAATGAATATACTATTCTTTTTCATTTTAATTGTATGTTGAAACTATTCAATAATTTGCGAGTTTTGCATCATGGCTTCTGATTCATTAAATAATTCCATTGGGAGGTCTTTTTTTCAACAGAAGTTAATATTTATGATATCGAGCTCACAGATAAAATGATTTCCTTATTTCTGAAGTAAGAAAATTATTTTATCTCAGTCTCCCTTTTTCATCCAATTGAGCAAATGTGGAGGTATATGGGAGAATTGGAAGAGAGAGTGAATAGGGATTTTTTTGTTCATAATTTTTTATATATCCATAATACCTATTTTTCCTGGTTCGATTCATACTTTCTGAAAAATTTATGCGCCCAACTACTTCTTTTGTCAATTTCTAATCTTCATTTTTGCAAGAGTTTTTTTCGAGAGTTCAATACTTTGATTTAAATAGACGATGTTTAGACTTTATTAATGAAATCGTTCTGAAACTAATTTTGTATTTAAAATTTCGACTGACGACCGAATATTTGTTTGCCGCTATATTGGATCATCTTACTGACTATAGACTTTTAAATTAATAGTAATGCAGTTAGTTAATGAGTTGTTCATCTATCGTAGATATAATTTTTCCTTCAATTTGTTTGAATTACAATAGAACGATGCATTTTTATAGTGTGACGACGCGATAATGCAAGAACCGTTGAGCGAGCCAGCTTTGCTCCCACTGGATGCCGAGGATTTTTTATCCAAAAAAAAGGTCATTCTTTTGAAATTTCGGAAGTGTATCATAATGAAATATTTTTTTTTAAAGAAATCTCTGGTGGCTTTTCTCCGAAAGGATTGAGGAAGCTCAAAATCTTGATTTAGCATTTCGAGTCCTTTTTTAGTATGAGAAAATGGTTTTCTACAGATTTGTATATCATAGAGCAAATTATGCTGCGAAAGTTCAATTGTATTCCATTGGCATCGTTTTGCATTTTTTTCTTTGAAAATGGTTTAGTAAGCGTAGGTTTCGTCAAGCAGTTTGTACAACTTGGTCTTGTATATGGCTAAAGGAATAGCTTATTAACTTTCCATCTTTAGTATTGCTGATTAATTTGACGTAAATAGTGCTAATTAATTTTCCCAGTTCTCTATTACATTACACAGTTTTTATATTAATTTTATTGAAACATTCCCCTGCATACATATATTACATACATATTAAAATATATTTTCTCAAGGAAGGAGTTGAAAAGAAAGGCGATTGTTTCTCTAGTTCAATTCTTCCTAGCAATCAAATTATCACCGCATTTAACAAAATGTGAACTATTTTAAATTTCTATTTGTCTGAAAGTAGAAAAGTTATTTGGATTTGAATTAATTTTCTAGGCAAGACTATCATTGTTCGGAAACTATTGGACGAATGAATTTCCACTAGATGCGGTTGGAAATGCGGGACGTATTGGTTGTAAGGATGAAAGTAATAGTGAGCAGAGTATTTCATTACAAATAAGCATGTGTCAGTCCGGTTTGACGAAGGTAATCACCTTCTTGCCCTTCTATTTGTTTCACAATGAAAGCCGGTTTCCACTGGAAATAAGAGAATTTGGAGCTCAAAACTGGGTCCTAGTTACTTCTCAAACAGTAAGTTTGTTTCATCCTCTAGAAAAATTAAAGCCTATCCATTAATCGCCCTTTATTATTTGGAAGACTAACTTATTTCGCAGATTTCAAGCCTTTTCTTGTCGCTTTTCACGAAGGATGATATATTCCACGAGTTCGCTTGTCTATGATTTACTTTATGTAATTCTTTGACTGTTAAATTTTTTCAGTGTATCGGTTTCTGGCCATCACAAAAAGAAAATCGGAAATATGCTGTTGTCAGATACGGCGGTACAGCGGAAGAGTCAGTACTATTTCCAATCACTGAAAGTTTTGAAGGATTCTGTCAGATCGACAACGATGTAAATTTATTTTTTAGCTGCTGAAGGAAAAATACTGAGGGGTGCATATAATGGGTATCTATTCCTCATAAACCTATAGCTACAAAGACACTGATTGCTGTTAACTTCTATTTTTACTGTGAAAAGTGTATCTGCGCATATATACAGATCATATACACTTCAACATATTTTTGGATTTCTATGTCTTTTTTTTCTACTTATGTTAAGTTGTAGTACCTTGGTGTATATGTAACCGTCACAGTCTGCGAATCATCTTCGATTACCAGACTTGAATCGTTTGAACCAGGTATGGCTCCCGCTATTATAATGAATGCAACGAAAAAATCAGTTGAATTTAATCAGAAAGGTAACTAATTTATATGTTTCTTACACTTCCTTCGCCTCTGTTTTTAGTTTCATTTTAGTAGTTTCATGTTAGCCTTTTCGCCCTTTTTTGCACGCAAAAAATTTTAATCTAAATGTAGGTGCTCGATCGAAGAAGATATTAGGTCCATGGGAAAGCTGTGCATTTACATGGACAGACGTGATTCGTGATCGTGAATTAGAATGGAAAAGTGGTGATGCTAGCCATTCAGATGATTTAATTCGGAATACATTCGAAGATTACCGACCATCTAAGGCAGACTCTACTCGTTATTACTGGGTAAATGCATCTGAATATATTTAAATCTTCAGTGAAATTTAAGTGAAATTTTTCCGTTTTTTTGCTCTGTTTAGTATATGTAATTAAATATAACCATGGTTGGCCGTGTAGTTGTTTATTCAGTCTGAAACTATAAACGGTAAAAATCTCTATAGCTCTTTTGGCGCTGAATACGGCACTGTATTAGAGCGGAGATATATTTTTCTGTGCTCTTTCAATATTTTTTGCATTTCTGCTAAGTTCTGTATGCATTATCTCTCCCTTGCGAATTTTCCTTTTGAAATTGAACATTCTTTCAATTTTTTATGGATTTAAAGCTTTTTGTTTTTGAATAGGTATCATTTTTGAATGGACGTCAACGTGTTTATCTGTTTACGGATAATCTGGCAGTAATGACTACGGCGCACGAAGCTTACGAAATCGAACTTCCTACACTGTCTGTCGAAATATCTCTGCAAGGTATTGGCATTTCGATAGTGGATAATTTTAAAACTGAAGAAATCGCATATATGTGTATCGCATCATCAGCTATTATTTGGGAGCAATCCGTCAAAACTCGATTCAAGTTTGTTTCTTCCAAGAGTCCTAGAGTTTTAAAAGATCTGAAAAAAAGATTGCAGTTTTTCTATCATTTTTGATATGGCTTTATTCAGAATACTTATACCGAAAATTACATCGCTGAAATGAAATATAGGTTTATAATAATTTTGCAGGTGTTTGCAACAACAATTTAATCAAATGACAGATTATAAATTTTTAAGAAAGCGATACTTTTATGTTGTCATTAAATAATCGAACTAGGCTGTTTTGATGATGCAAGCAGGAGCAGAATAAATAATGAAAGTATAGTTATCACTCGTGTTTTTAATACCTAGTTTGGATCCATAGTATGTTTACTGCATGCTTCCAGACCATTCACAATCAAACAGATGGAAACAATCGAGCACGCATACCAGGCGTGGCTTCCAGATCGCTCAGAAGAAACAGTGGTATTGGACAAATTAGAGTTTGACTTCATGCATATGAAATTAAAGAAACAAAAAGACTGGGTATTTTTTGTACACTCTAGAGCTATAAACAGTTTAATTTGAATATTTGTTTTTGATTTGTTAAATTTATATTATTTCAAAACTCTTTATTTTGATTAGGCGGATTTTCAGATTGACATCCGGCGACAATTTCAAATTGGATTTTGGATGCAGTATAGGCAAACCCCTCACCAATCGCAATTTCATATGAAGGCATGCCTTTTTTACACGTTTTATTCATATGTTTCGTCTTTATTCTATGTGCTTTTTATTTACGTAGACTTGTGTGATTTTCAACACATATGAAATCATAATGTTTTAATGAACTGTAAGTGTTAGTTAAATGTCAATTTTGTGTCAAGTATCCCAACAGAGAAATGCTTGGCTTCATTTCCTGCACTCTATATGTTTCTCACCTCTCATATTATATGTTTCTCAGTAATTCGTGCCTTTTTAATACCGAAATTATATCCCACCCATAACACTTCCTTAATCTTATGCATTCCTGAATCTTACAAAAAGTAGAATTCAAAAAAGAATATATATTAAAGTATTCCAAGTTTTATTATTGTTTCATCATTGGCTTTATTAATTATTTTTTTAAGGTGAATCATCTGCAGATTGACAATCAGTTACAAGCATGCGTATTTCCGTGCATACTCTCAGTTGTATCACCACCAAGATCTGTTGTTCAAGACAATGGTAATGGAAACTATTTTTACATGAGCAAAAAGTGTTTTATAAAACAGCTGGTTTTTATAAGTCTGATGCAAAAAGACTTGTACTATTTTTTAATATTTTATTTTGGTTATATAGATGGGTAAAAGAATTATTTTACTGATAAGTATTAGTAAATTTGATTTTTTCAAGGAATTTTCAGTGCCAAAATCTTTCTCAGAATTGAGCTATATAAGACGGAAATCAGAACATAGCAGGATTGCTCAAATAAAATACCTTCATCTTTTGGTGCAGGAGTTCTCAGTGCAGATTGATCAAGGCTTTGTGAACGCAATGCTGGAATTGATATCTTCTCAAGCTGATAGTAAACCATATACGGTTAAAACCTTTTTTTTCACAAAGCACGCGAATAAAAGGATGTCTCTTGCCTTTTTATTTTGCTACCATAGTTGTCCATGCGCAAGAAAAGTGTTAAAAATTCTTTTCTTGGCTCTTTGTATCGTTTAATTATGCACAAAAAAGTGATCTTACTTCTTTGGATTCGATGGAAATATCCTTTAAAAATATGTTTGAAGACCCCTTTTTACTAGAAATATTATACATGATGGCAGAATAAATTTCAATGCATTAGTCATGTTTGGAAAGTAAAATATGATTGTGCAATATACTGATTTCATGAATTACTTTTTTGCAGAAAGAAGCTTTTGTGAAAGACTTTGAAATGACGAAAAATCAGTTAGAGGTAATTGCCGGAATGACGACGGCTTCTCAACAAGCAGCATATTATGAAAACTTGCATATTTCTCCGCTAATGGTTCGTGCAGTCTTTTCATAAAATTTTCTTAATTGAAAAAGATTCATCTGTAAAGTGTTTTTTGAAGGTAAGTGAGTATTTTATTAAATTTGGGCTGGATACATTTTAGTAAATGGATAAACACAAGTTCGCAGTACTAGGTATTTTGCGAAGTGTAAGCGTGAGTTTGTGATTTTGAGTTATCTCGAGAAAAAAACAAGAGGATATGTGGTCTTGTTTCAGATAATAGCAGTTAGTGTAATTTTTGCAGATACATTTATCATTTTCACAAAGTGGTAGTTCTGGTGGAAAGCAACTGAAGAATAAAGCATTCAAGTCAAAAGAAGCCGTTCAACTTCCAATGCAATCCGAATTTATCAATGTTTTCTTGAAGAGTATTGGTGTAACAGTGACGGAAATTCAGGATGTGGTTTTTAAGTATGGCGGTCTTTCAAATTTTTTCGTCTTTAGGAGACGTCCAGTCTCTTATTCACTCATTTCGCTCTTATTCATTATTTTTTTAGCTCTTATTCGTTGTCACTTTTTATATGCACTCTTTTGAGTATTTATTTTGATTATTACAAACATTGGTCTTGACGCGTAAAGTCCGACCTATTATTGGAGTACTTTAACGGAAGAATCTATGGGGTTCTACAGTGGTGGATGAACGGAATTCATTTCAAGATAAATAGAATAAAAACCATGTAGATACAAGGCTTTTATAAATCGAAGTAGCTCTTAAAGAGAGAACATGTCAGACCTGTGCAACCGTTTGATTGTGTTTCTTGTCTATATTATTTTTGGATAAATAGCTGAAAGCTGTGGTGCGTAGTAATTCGGTTCTTTTTTCACTTAACTTTTCTTATAGACTGGCGTTCTTCGAGCGAAAATGTGCTTTCTACACAACCTCTCAGTTGCAAGGTGAAATAATAAGACACTACACGTCGCAAATTATCAAGCAGCTTTATGTACTTGTTCTTGGCCTTGATATCCTGGGAAATCCGTTTGGTCTTGTTCGCGATCTTTCATCTGGAGTACAGGACTTCTTTTATCAACCGTTCCAGGTTATTTTGTCGTTATGATTTGTTTTTATATTTCGTTGTTCTAAGCATCTTAACACAAATTTCAGTTATGGGATTCTTCGGTTTCAATTTTATAATGGAAACCTTGCGATAGTAATTTCTTCATATCCGATTAAACAACTCCATTTGCTAATATTAGATATATTTCTTGCTTTTCGTTGTAAAAATTTCTTTTACGAATTCAGAAAGCCCCCACTTGAAAAGAAAGAATAAGTGCACCGGTCCATACTGAAAGGATCTTACATTGGCGGATTGGGGAATTCATTTCAAAAAATCAGAAAAATCTATATGATCATTTTGTTTTAAGATTTTCGAAAAAGTTATTTGAGGACTTATTATATCACTCGTATTAACTGTAAGAAAAAAAGAGGATTCATCATATTCAATTCATATGCAAGGGGAAATGCTTTAGGGAGCTGTTCAAGGACCTGAAGAGTTCGCTGAAGGAGTCGCTCTGGGTGTTAAAGGTCTCGTTGGTGCAACAGTTGGCGGTGGAGCGGGAGCAGTCTCGAGAATCGCTGGTACTCTAGGGAAGGTATATTTTCATTTTATGTTTATGAAGATTTGGCATAAGCGGCTTTCTTTATCCCAGACATCTGAAAATTTAATTTAATAAGTAGTGCCGAATATTTTAAGTAAGTGTAGAACTTCATATTTATGGGTAGGCTTTATTAAATAAAGAAGTTCAGGCAATGACTTTTATATGCGGAACTGTGATTTTTTACTGACAGGAAAGCAGACTTTAAGATAAAATGACTATTGTAGAATGATTTTACTTGAACATAAAAATGAAAAATTTTAGGGTGTAGCTGCATTAACTCTTGATGAAGAATATCAGCGTAAGCGGCAGCAGATGATGAACCGTCGTCCGAAGACGTTCGGTGAGGGTGTGGCTCGCGGTGCTAAAAGTGTCGGGCAAGGTTTTTATGATGGCATCGCTGGTGTTCTCGTTAAACCGCTTGAAGGTATTTTTAACTATGTTTACAGAATGCTTACAGCATTCGCAGGAAAATGTGTAGCTTTATTTTTTCACTCATATTTGTTTTTGATTAAAGTCCATTTACAGAAGTCTGATTGTATTAAAACTTATCAAACGGTCCAAAGTTACGTTATTTGGCATCTTTAATTAACAGAGTAAGTTGTTTTATTTCATAGTTTTAGGTGCTCGCACTGGAGGAGCTGGCGGTTTTGCAAAAGGACTTAGTCTCGGTTTGGTCGGCATGGTTACACGCCCTTTATCTGGAGCTGTTGATTTTGCTAGTAGTACTTTAGATGCTGTGAGATTGTTAGTTTTTTTTCATAAAATTTTTTAAATGAATCGTTTGGCTGAATACTATTTTGATGAAGTACCTTAATTTCTAACCTAAATTGATCGTCAACTCATATTACTGAAAACGAATTTGAAAAGTTTACTTATGATCAAATTATTAGAAATTTAACCTTGTAGTGAATTTCTGATATTTTTTTGTAGTATTTTCCTCGTTCTTTGAACTAGTGAGCTAAATGATACGCAGCTAACATAGATTGTAAATAAATGTGGTTCATATCTTAAAATTTAAAATTTCAGTGCGACAGTTGGAATTGATGAAAGGAAGCCATTACGCCCATCGCGAGTTATATTTTCGGACAACATCGTACGACCATACTGTCAAAAAATGGCTATAGGAGCTCAAATATTTCGTGTAAGCTTAGGATGAAGTTTATTAGCTCTGGCAATTATCCATTAGTATCATTAGATACCCAAGATCTCAATGCACATGATTGTTTCTACTTTCCCATAGTGTATATATGATCTTCACAATGAGTATTATTTGAAGTTCTTTTATATCGACTATAAAAAGCATATATATCAGCTCACCATCTTCCACCTAGTGTGCTTAACCTGAGCAAATCTGCATTTCTCTTTCTTACACTGTAGTTTTTATAAGATTTGACTCGTTAATTGAAAGAATAATCGAGTTTACATATGAAGTCGAAGTAATATTAACGATCGACAGCTGTCAAGTATTGTAAATGTGTAGTGGAGTCGATAACATTTTCTTTTCAATTAAATGCATTTAGCAAAAGAGCAGTCAACACTGGGCAACATTTAGCGAATTATGCTTTTGCCAAATGATTTTGCCTTAGAAAAATGCTACAGAGTCTATACATCATAGAGTATATATTTCGAATGTTCAGGAAGCTGATAATGGTTCCGTGGCCGACACTGATTATTTCTTGGCGCATGCACCAATTTCTGAGAGGAGCCTGTTTATTATCACAGATAGGTTGGGATTTTGACTGTTTGATTAGCTAATTTCATAATTACTATTTGTAAGAAATATGGTTCGAAATGGAATTTGGGATGCCGAGCTGCAAGTTGAGTAATATGTGTTTCATTACAACAAATTTTTTGAACATAAGATAATGAGCAAGGTCCTCAGCAAAAGAACAGTGAGTCAGTGGACAATCATTTAGAGAACTATGTTTTTTAGCGAGTGATTTTCAATTTGATATAATTAAGTTGAATTTTACATGCACTGCTGACAAATGATTGCAGGCGTGCAATGAATGTGAAAAAGAGTGATATGGTTGGTTCCTGGAATATTGAATGGCAAGTTTTATACACGGAAATGAATCGACCAACACTTTCGGGCAAAACGATTCTGATTAATTTACGAAAGAAGCAAAAGGGTTTCCTTAGATTAAACACGTTAGGTGGAAGAGTGGTTGAATTAACAGAAGAGTCATCTGCAACTGTTAGTATTTGTTTTCTTTTCATTTAGAATTTCCGTTAAATATGTATGATGGTTTTGTTCATGAACGTTTGATGAGATCAGAGAAACAAAAGAGAATGATAAGTAAACGTTCATATCGAGAAGATATCTAGGTAAGGGTGTAAAATCATGCAAAATCTTGATGCTAGGCGTAATCCTGTTGCAGTAGCAATATGGTCTCAATCTTTTTTTGCGCTTCCACGTTAAATCATGAAAGTTTCGTCGAGTTCATCCTAAAGCAGATCTATCAATTTAACCAAATTTTGTGCAACTTTTTTTTGTTCAATCACTTTACTGATGCTCCTTTCAGGAAATATACAATAAATTATTAGCAGCTTATGAAATTGAAGTTGGTGCCGGTTAAAGAACCGTTCTACTTATATTTTCGTCATTAAGTGCTTTTAAATGTGCTTCACTGCAGAAGCCGCTCGTGTTCGTGAGCATCCATATTTCATATTTTCTATAATGAAGATGATCAAATACTGAAGACTGCAATTTTGATGATCTAATAATTGTTCTTGTTTATTTATTTATCACTTTCTGATATATCTCCAGCGAATTGTTTGATTCCATCTTTTTTCTGATGACATTTTTGGAAGAGTGAGAGACAGAGGATTTTTGATCATCGTCAATTTTTTAGACCATAACCGTTTTAATAAGCAAAACGTCATTCGGTCTTGACAGTCCATTCATTCTGAATGGAGGCCCAATTTAGCCTTCTACATAAAACTGCTCTATCCAAATATTAAATTTATGAAGAGAGGAAGAACGGATTTCTAGCAGTTCAAAATTAGGTGAGAACATACTATGATTTGGGGAACTGAATGAGTAGCAAACTTATATGGATTGTGATCAATAAAAAATTCTACTTGATTGAAAATACTGGCGGTACCAATAACTAAAATATATTCACTACATGAACGCAGTAGTATTTCAAAAGGATTTTGAAATATCAGTCTGGTTTACCTCAACCTGCTATCTCTCAGAAAAAAATTTTTTCTTGAAATATCAGTCTGATTTATCTCAATCTGCTATTTTGTGTCGAATTTCAAAGAGGATGCACGCGAAGTTGTGGAACCAGCTATCCGTTTATTGCTTTGAAATTCGAGTTTTAAAATTATTTATGTCAAGATTGTGGCTTTTGTTTTTCTTCGTCAGCTTTATATTTTTTTCGTTTTTTTCTATAATTTGTTCTGAAAGCTATCAACCTCTCATGGCTGCTCCATCGAATCTATTTTTTGTGAAAAGTTTAGATTTTATTCATTCGTCTATTTGTCACTTCATTTGCTCATTCCAAACGATTTGGGATGAAACCTTTCATTTGAATGTATTTTCCACTCATTTAGACGCCATAACCCAACTTTTTAAATTGTTGATCACATCCACTTCTCTCCTCCCAAGGCTTATTTTGCTATTTAAGTGTTTATAGGTCATTTGCTTCATAAAGTTGTGCTTATTTTGGCTGTTTTCAGTTGCGATCTGTGCGAATACCGTTTGACGTTTCAGACAATGCTGCTACTAGTTGTACTTTAAAAAACTTTTCGAGATCATTGTTTGCAATTTATTGTTTATTAAATGATTTTAATTTGCTACCAGAGACGCGTTGTTCCTCAGAATGAAACAGTTGAGATAGAACAAGATGCATGTATATTTTCATAAAGTTTGCTTTCAGCAGGAAGAAGGTCGAAATAGGATTTGTTGTGAATGCTTTCGAGAACTAATTGACGAATTGATAGGTTCACCTTACATCCTCTCTCTGTTTAAGAAAAATACCAACTTGAATCAAAGGTCAGGATGCCAAGATATGCATTAGGAATTGTAAAATCCGAAATACTGCCCACTCTTTTTCTGCGTATTTCAGATTTATGATAAATATCAAGAAATTGCGTTTGGGTATGTAGTGCTGGTATTGCCCCACTGGTTTCGCCTCCAAACTCTTCAACTTAGCAGTTGCAGAAGCCGAAATCAATTTTGACTGTTGAACATGGGCTTATATTTGTATGAAATGGTTTGTCTTTGATAAGAGACAAGAACCATTGATAGCATTGAATTCAGGAATGGAATTTTCGGTTTGTTGTACTTTTTTGACAAGTACTTGATTAAAATAGAATGTTTGATTAGGTTAGTCAGGGCGATTCTTTGCTGTCAATAATGCGGTATTCTAAAATTGAAATTTGAATCATACCCAAGTATCAATGGAATTTTTGGTTTATTACTTTAATTTTCGATTAGAGTTTTGAAAGTGCGTGCTGCGTGGTTTGAATGAGATTCTAAGGTATTAAGAAATCGGTTTTTTCAGTTAATGCAGATTAAATGCTATAAATCTGTTTACCTGATGGAGAAAGATGTTGAGAAGGCTTACGTTCAGTTTTAATCTAGAACAGAATTCCACTTATTTACGTGTCATTCTAGATTTAAACCGAAGCACTTGGGTAATAGATTTTCGACGCAAATTGTTTTCATTTGACAAAATTTCGTCCATGACAACTCGAAATGACACACAATAAGCTTAAGGAGAGTCTGGTTATTCTGATCGATGACATTGATATTTTAATAACAGCAAGGTTGTTGCATTGAACTTTCACTAAATAATCTCACCACATTCTGAAAATGATTTCATCTGGCTATAAAGTAACTAATGCTTTATTTGCGATGGTAATTAAAAATTTTTTTGCGGAACTGTCCTTAGATGATCGCGGAAGAAAATTGGTAAGATCAAATCATTTGAGCAGTATAAAAAAGTGCTCCAGCAACGCAACCAGTATTACACACGATCATTGCCATATTTACACTGCGGTATATCTAATGCCACCGCTTTACCTCTATTATGCGTTTCTCTTCGTGAGACACACACACACACACACACATATATATATATATATACCATCGCATCTCTTTTCTGTTGACTTTACACCCCCTTCTTTTGCCTCGGTTTCTATATAAGTAGGTAGATAGATGATGGAGCATGATAGAGATGTTGATTCGGAAGTTATACCGGAAGTGCCGCCGCTTTGAAAACAGTTTTCATGGATATAATGCTAACTCTCTAAATCTCAGATCTTTTCAGGGTTTCTCTCTTCTGCAGGCTACTGTTTCAGGTACTCTAAGTAATGTACGGCAGCAATTTGCATTGCTGTAATTTGATAAGTATTATTATACAACTATTTGGATTGTATTTCTTTTATCGAAGTATAGCTTTCATCAGTCTAATTTTTTAGCATTTCTGTTTCCTTTAATAGCAGTTACTTGCTGCCTCATGGCTTTACCCTTTTCATCATGCAAGTTTCCTTGCAAACGATATCCATCATTTGCAATAAGCATTCTGCCAATATCACCGTGGTGACATCTACACCTACATCACCACCGTCATCACCGCCATTTTATGAAAATTCCCCTCATTGTTATATAGCATCCTCTCGATATGTAATGCTTATTTTCTGCAGTTTTATTTCACCTCATCACAAGCAATCTCACATTCAGATATGATAAATTTGATGGGAAAATGATAAGCTTCATATGAAATATTTCGATTTTATGAACAAACAAATGGTGACAATGAATATTGTTTGATGTAGTGATAGCGATCTACAGCTACTCTTACATTTTTCCCCTCAATCTGCAATCTGCAGGTGTGAAGAGTTATCACATATTTTTTTCTTCTTACCATGCTCCATCAAAACATTCTTCGTCTCTGTCCCCGACCATCGCAACATATATTTGTTCAAATCATTTACAAATCGATTCAAAAATATCTGAGCGAAGCGCAGTGGGCTATCATTCTCTCCTTTTTTTCCAAGCTTTCCTAAACTACACATTGTATTCTTGGTAAGTAGTATCAATGAAATCAGTGGAACTTTAATTCATTGCGGATAAGAGGATCTTATTAGCATACATCTATGAAAATTCAATTTTTCTCTTCATAATTTCACAATTCGAACTTTGCCCAGTCCGCTATTATAGTATGCTAGCAAAGTACACACAAAAAGAACTGGCTGTATGAGTAGAATAAAGATTTAATGTAAATAATATTTCATTTTCAAGATTTGTGATTACTATTAAAAAAAAATAATGCAGCAAAGATATGACTGTTTCATGTGATTCATAAGAGGAGATGAAGTGCGAGTGTTTGAGCCTATCTTTCATTGCTCTCATCTCTGAGTAATTTATACTACTTTTGAATCAATAAGTAAGTCTAAATATTAAGTGACAATTTATTTCTTTTATTATAACAGATAACCCTTTAGTCATATTTATTTTAAAAGTCATCACTTCTAGTCAGCACGCTGCAGTATTCGATGATTGTTGTCATTGATATGTGTAAAGATTCACTTATGTTACTTTAATCTTACTTTCTCAACTACCAGCCTTGACACTCGGGAAATGCTTGGGAAATGAAAAATAGTATTTTGGTATCCTAGCTCTACGGCCGTGAAAGTAATGGAGTCGTGATATTTGCGTCGCCTGGATCTCTGTTCTTGACGAACAGCTTAAAACCTACAAGGAGCATTAAATATCAAAGGTGTGTACTCCTTATCTTTCTTATCAACTGATTGCTGGGCGAATTCTTTGTCGTAGCTAACTTTTGTATATGGAAGAGCAAGTCTTATTATATATGGAAAAACTAAGTTTTATAAATGAAAGACTACACTTATAAAGTAATAAATAATTTTTATTAATTATTCTTATATTACAAGAGGATAATCAGGTAAGGCACTTTTTACTTTATCAGAAATGTAGTTCCACCAGTATTCTTTGAAATTTACCGGATTCCTATTTGCAATTAATTAGATGTTTTCAGCTGTGTCATCAGTTCTATACTTCGTGAGTATAAATTTTGTCTTTTGCCTGTCCGAGCCACGTTTTACCATTTTCATTTTAATGTGCCTGATGCGTATCACTTTGCCCTTCCTTCCCTACTGTCGGTCGTCCTCTTCGCCTTCCATATCATATGAACTCTTTTTCTATATTGTTTCCTCTCATATATATGTATTTACATATATCACTTGTGACTTTCAGTTATCTTGTACATTTCAGTTATCTGTAGTGTTTTGGTAACTCGTTTTAGCTTACATTTCAGTTTGTTAAAAAAAGTTGTATGCGCTAGATATTATAATCAATCAATCGTTTATCAATTAAAATTATTTCGTACGATTATTTTTAGTTGAAATCTTCTAATTAAGCTCTTGTCATTTACTGCTAACATTTTGGCATCTTTTTTTTGGTCATTTTTGCTTCCTCTCTTACTTGAAAATTATTCATATTATTGGAACTAAATGTATTTAAGTATTGTAAGCTAAGAATGTGTTCGTGTAAAAACTGTGTGATCGCTTCATCATTCGTTCCTGTAGGGAATTCCAAAATTTTCCAAAAATGTTTTAGGTGGTGAATGTTTTGGTTATATGTGCAATCATCAAGAGGCAGCTAAAAATGCCTTCACAGAATGGGACTATCGATGAGCGTGGAAAGCTTTTTTTGTTAAATATTTCCGGTATGTTCAACTGTACTGTACATTTTTTTTCATACTAAGGAAAAGATCGTATTTTTCTTTCATGGAAATTGGTCGTACGATCTTCACTATTAAATGTCACCTATGTTCTAAGTTTAAATATTGATGTAATATTGCGCTTGCGCATCCTTCATTATTTCTGATCAAATAATCTTAGAGCTTAATGTGGTGAACTAAGGCGTAAAGTCATTAAAAAAATTGTAAGAACTGTTTCATATTTTTGTATATAAAACTCACAGATATATTTGTTCCTGTCTCTATATGAATGTTTGATCTTTCTGTGTGTTGCAGTCATATCAGCAAAGCTGCATGGTGTTAGCGGTTTATTTAGTAAGCCACCAGATGTTTATGTGGAATTGATTGTTGATTCTGTTTCGTCGCGAAAAACTGTCGTTCGGAAAAAGACGAATGCACCGCAATGGGACGAACAAATACAAGTAAGCTCATGTAGAAATTAGTCATTCAAAGCGGTATGTCTTTAGCAGCTGTGCGGCAGAACAATTTTTCTTTTTTTTTATTTACTAAGACTCACGATGTTACTCGTTTATTCTATCTGCTCGTTAAACTATCTGCAGAAAAACTGATATGATTTTATAGAAAATTGTTTTAACTTACAGCGGTTAACAATAAAAAGAGGGTTCGACTAGTATATAGTTTATTAATTGTTCTCTTAACGCCGATTGCATAAGCAGATTTATTTCCAAGTAAATAAGTTAGGAAATCATTTAAACTTCAGTTATTTGTTATGACATCTAATGCATTATGGAAGGCGATGGCCTTGTGATTGATACTGAAATAATATTATACTTGAGTAGCTGTAGAAGATAGAATAAAACTAAATTTACTTGTCCTTTTAAATTACAACTTTTTTCGAACATATAATTTTATGCTTAATGCACAGGTTCAAGTCCACGAATCATCAATTCTTGAATTTCGTGTGTTTGGAAAATCAAAATTGTTCGAGGATTCACTGATTGGTCAAAAAATACTAAAAATGTCTCACGCAATCAAGAAAGAATCAGATAATGGAAAATGTAAGTATATGGTAGTCTTTCTATAAATTTCGAACTTTGGTTTCGTGTCTGGCCTTAGCATATATTTGATTTTTTTTACTATCAGATTTTCATATTTCTGTCTCCTCCTTTGTATAGTAAAAATTTACTACATCTGTTTTTGGATTCTTCAAATTTGAAATTCACATTTATCTCAGTGCAGAAATCTTCTGCGGTCTGGTAATCGCTTTATAATGGTATCTTGACATGCAGATATATTTTTCTGTATCATGTACTCCTCCATTCATATTTCACCGTAAAGTAGGGAAAAATTGTGGGTCTGCTGAGCATTGTTTTCAGCGTGTATTTGCTTTAGTTCTGTATTTCAATCACTCTGTTTCATTTTTTCCGGTTTATAATTAGGTTTTTTATCCTAATTTTTTTTGAATGTCCACTAACCATGTCATTTCACAAAGGTTTTCATGAGTGAATTTTCTTCTGGAGTTGAAACCGTGGTGCTATAAGTTTCGAAAGTTCTTACTTTCCTGATTTTGGATATATATCACACTCAATCTATATAAAATGCTGATTCGAATGAATTTCACGAGTCAGAAGCATGGCAATTATCTGAATTCTGACACTTGTTTTCAGATTTCCTTCTTTCCTTCGTGCACTATTGTGGTATGGTAACTGTGGTTGTCTAGAATTTACAGTGCTACCTTAAACTTTATAAAAGAACTTAATTCTTATTTTATCGATTATTACAATTTTCATGTTTACAATGGTTTATATAATGATCCTTTGTAATAATATCAGTATTTTTTCAGTTGACAATACAAAGATGACACTACACCTTTCTTCACCGAAAGATATGACAAGAATAGGGGAACTGAAGATTTTGTTATCTGGTACCGTTATACGTCCCAAGAAAAAGAATACGGGTATGATTTAGCAGTATTTTCATTTGATTGCATTTGGGAAGTAGCAACAAAAAATAAGGTTATATAATTTTTGGCATCGAAATAAGAATAGTTATTTTTCTATAAGATGATACCAGTTACTGCTTTTGAGATGAAATGCTAAACGGAGAACTTTTATTGTATAGTGTTAAACTGCTTCTATTCACTAAAGTATTGGTGTTCTCTTTAAAGGATAAAATTTATCTGGGAAAGGTTCTGTTAATTTTGTAAACTATGCTTGATGAATGTTGAGCGAATGCTATTGTTCTGTAATTCTACGTAGCCGTGTTCTTATTGTCATGTAGTGGTCTAGTACATCAAAATGATTATCAGCTGCGGGTGCATTGAAATGCTCTTTCCATCTCTGTAATACAGAAGAATGTTCTGTTATTTAAAGTCTAAAAATTTCGGAAAACTTTTCTTTTTTAATATCAAGAGATAGCCTATGAATGGATTTCAGCTTCTTCGCACAAAAATGATAATAGTCTGTAAACGCTATATGCCTGATTGTGAGATTGGGATTAAGTTTTGACTAGTCAGTGAGAAAAAAAGGAAAGGTATGCAGCAAATTTAATTGCTTCGGATGAAGATAAAAGTTTTAGCGTTATTGTCGTTCTTGTCACTTCTCATTATCAGGTCAATAATTTAGGATGAATTTATTTTATTTCGTATAATTTGGAAGTCCAGAATGATCTATTGATTGAAATTTCCAAATGGAGGCATAATAGCTTTTAGAAGGAAGGAAATGCTGTTTTACGTATTGAACAGTGAAAAAAATTTTTTTACGCTACTCATGCTAAAGTAGGTATGGTGAGCACAGCTGTTTTTCTAAAGAGGAGTATTCATTCACTGAAACAAAAGGCGAAAAAGTAAATAGTGACTGTCAAAGAAAATTGGAAAAAAAAACCTAATTTAGAACTTCCCTGAAAAAATCATCGCCTCCGGCTCTTCCGGTTAGTGCCAATATCTCGTAGATAGAACATTTTGAATTTTTTAATGAAATCTTAGATATATTTTATTGCACATCAAATTTCTTCCTCTGAAACTGTCGTTCCTCCAGTCTTTTGAAAATGTGTTTTTAATTCTGATGTATCCGTCATTGAATCTGATTCTCTGCACTGCGTTTTTGCTTCTCTATTGATTGGTCCAATTTCCTCCTCCTCATCAGCGCTGCAAATGGTTTATTCATTCTTGTTTGTCAAATTGGATTCTATTTAGTATTTCCTTTCATTAATCTGTTGGATATGGGTTTGCGAGGAGAAAGAATGACGGAAGAAAGTGAAGTTTGTGAAATTATCATTTAATTATCCTTTTTCAGTAAGATCTCTTTATGTAACATTAAAATACATAGTGAGTGTATGTGAAAAATATTTCAAGTCCCCGGCATATTCTAGTAACTACATAAATTGATTCTATTGAGCATATTCTTTTATCGAAGCATTTTATGTATAATTTTTATAGCATAAATTGATAATAGGAGATAATAGGAATTTCGAATAAAAATTGACATAAATAAGTTTTTTTGCTCCTCTTTGTAATTATATCGATTTTTGAATTGTAACGGGACAGAATTACTGTGCGATGCCTCTCTTTCACTCGCTTTTGATCCAGGTGAACCCCGCATTTTATAGCAGTCTAAAATGATAAATAACTTAGAACAATATGTGGACATATTAGTGACGTGATGAAAATCGCTTCTTATTAAGAAAGTATTCTGATAATGTTTTCATCATCCAACCAACTTAAATAATTTGCAAAAGCTCTCCTTGCATGCATTTCCTTCGGAAAAGCTTTATGAGTTCGCGAATACGATCGGACAGATAAACACAGACAAAAGACTTATATTTTATTTATGTCTTACCTTTTATCTACTTTTGCTTTCGAAATTTCTGTCATTATTGATGCTTTTTTCTCATTATTGATATTCTTAACAATCGACTGCAGTTGATGATTATCACTTCTGCAGTGTTTTCCTAGTTATTTTTTCCATTATCTGCATGATTTCAATATTATTCAATTACAATATTTTCATTGGATTGCTAAGTCATTAATTATAGGTCCAGTTTTTTTGTGATACATTGCATCGGGAAACATCATTTCTTCAGCTCACAGTAAAAGCTTATATGTCATATTGAAATTTCATGATATTGTAATTTTTTCAGCAGGCTGTTATTCTCTAACATCGAGTATTGTGCTTGCTTCTAAAACTTTGAATGATATTAAGTATACTCTCAAAAAATTTTTTTTATTATCAAATTTGACCTTAATTTTTTAGCTCCGTAGCTTTTTTACTAATTATATTTAATTTGTTCTTAGAGTTTTTTAAAGTTTTAGAAGTTAAGTTATTGTTAGAATCTTCTTATCGTTTTATTCTGAATCCTTATTCTGAACGATCACTTTGGAATTCATAACGTTTTAGACATTATGAAGATAGTTTTCAGGAGGCAATCATACTGTGGAAGGGCACGTCGGTGAAGCATCTACATCTTGTCCAAATAATATGTCGAATGGCCTTCTTGTTACTACTACCAGCAGTACTACTGGAGCAGCGAATAATACTAGTCGCAAGAATAATCCTGGTGATTTTCATAGAAATATATCAATCAGGCTGTTTTTCAGTAACTTTTTAATCTTCCAAAAAAATTTATTTTATGCTTGCTACATGTTTTAAAGCGGATACATGATGTTATTGGGAATTATTGCAGGGAAAAGAGACACTATGCTTTCACAGACTCTCGCTGGTTCGACTGTAATTGAAGAACGTTTACCAGAAGGATGGGAATTGCGTTACGATGCATACGGACGAAAATATTATGTAGATCATACAACAAAGAGTACAACATGGGAACGTCCAAGCACAACGCCACTACCATCTGGGCAAGCTATTATTACGTTGAAGCTCTTATATAAATGAAACGTGTATTGTATCCTGCAGTTTGCTGTCTCATACTTCGAGACTAGGAAATGAAACCTTGTTTCGGTCAATTATTGACGTTATCAGTAAAATAAAACATGCTGCTTTATTTTACGTCATTCTAGATGGCTTTCCAGGTTGGTTTTGTCATCATAGTTTCAGGTGATATGAATTTTCCATTCAAACTTTTACACATATCTTCAACTAATTCTTGAATACAGTTTTAGGTCCTAATCTTTTTATAGATGGGAAATGCGACGTGATCCTCGAGGCCGTGTATATTATGTGGACCATAATACAAGAACAACCACATGGCAGAGACCTACGGCCGATATGCTAGAGGCACATGAGCTATGGCAGTCAAATAGAGATCAGGCGATGCATCAGTGGGAGCAAAGATATTTGCTACAAGTATCACATTAAACTTCAATATTCCTCATTTCTCTTTTGTGATGTTTAATTAACCTATATATTTATTTTCATTTTGAGTAAGCAAAGTAACTGAAAATAGAGTTAAGAATGAGATAACGACGCTGAGCAATATGTTATATGAAGCACGATTTCTGAAGCATATGAGCAAATATCAATAATTAATCACAGTTTAGGTCTTTTACTATAGTAGTACATGGATTAGACATTTTTTCCAAATTAAAATTCAGTATTGGCTGAAACTTATAAGTTACCATCTTCATTTTTTTGTAATGTATCTTGTTGTCTAGAACGAACTAAATGGAGCAGAAATATACCTGCAATCCATAAATTTTTCCTATAAAATGACAATGTTGTTTCAGTCAAATACTATGATATCAAATGATGACCCATTAGGTCCGTTACCAAATGGCTGGGAGAAGCGTGCTGATCCAAACACGGGGCGTATATATTTTGTTAATCATGTTAATAGAACGACGCAGTGGGAAGATCCTCGTACTCAAGGGTTTGTCTTTTGATATGTGGCCGTTTTTAGAAAGTGAATAAGAAAGTAAAGAATGATTTTGTTAGATGAGAAGTGAAAACATTAGCATTTTGCTTTAATGAAATTCAGAATTCATTTCATTTTTGTAGATTTAAAGCGACTTGAAGCAAATATGGATTTTCTTGAATACTGAAAATTTATATAGAACCATTTTTTCCTCTCTTTGTATGATATGAATTTTTGTAGCGTATCGGACGAGCCGTTACCAGATGGTTGGGAAATGAGATTCACGGAGCAAGGTGTACCTTTTTTTATTGATCATAATACAAAGTCGACTACTTATAATGATCCTCGTACTGGAAAGCCTGTGGGGCCTTTAGGTGCTAACGGATTACCAATGAGTTTCGAAAGAACATTTAGATGGAAAATAGCCCAATTTCGGTATCTATGTCTGGTAAGTTATTTATTAAATATTTTTAAGAATGCTAATATAATTAACTTTGTTTCAGGAATTAATACTTGAGGTTTGATAAGTTACATCTTCTGGAAGGACCGAAATCACATTTATTACTGTGTGATGAAAATATAAATCAAGAAGAAAAAGATTATTTTAAAAAACATTGGAATCTAAATAGTTTTACAGTCTCTTCTGCACCAAATTTTTATCCTGTTACTCATGTTTTTTCAGTCGAACAGTATCCCAAATCACGTGAAAATTTCTGTCTCACGCAACAATTTGTTTGAGGATTCATACCAAGAGGTGGTTCTTGACATTTAATGCAGTTTTCATTTTGATCGGATCAAATTCAACTGAAATCATATGAAATGTGTAATCGTATTCTTATAAAGTTTTAGATAATGAGAAAGAATCCGGTAGATCTTCGTAGGCGTCTTTACATACAATTCCGTGGTGAAGAGGGTCTCGATTACGGTGGCGTTGCAAGGTATGTTTTATTTTTAATGAAGACGAGCGCATGTTGGACGATATTTCTTCAGGGACTGAATAAAAAGTTAACACTTATCAAGGTTAACGGTTTTTTTAACTTTGATAAGTGTTAACTTTTCATTTATTTCAAGGGCAAATACACATTTCAAGGTTTGGAAGGACAATTTTACTCTAATATTTTTCCAAAATTTATAATTTTGAAACAGTAGCATTTAGTTCCAGATCATCCTTGTGTCGTTTTAAGGAGGCTTAAAAACTTGATTTTTGAAGAAAAAAATCTATTTCAGGGAATGGTTCTTTTTATTATCGCATGAAGTACTCAATCCTATGTATTGTTTATTTATGTATGCTGGAGCAAATAATTATAGCTTGCAGATCAATCCTGCCTCATTTATTAACCCTGATCATTTGAAATATTTTGAGTGTATTGGACGATTTATTGCCATGGTATATTTTTTTGAATCTTTGTTTCCTTCTATATTTCGTGGGTTTTTTATGTTATCGTTGAGATAGATTAATTTATTTGTCCCTTCTGAGCAAAACTGAGCTCTTGATTGTTCAACAAATAAGGAAAGACGCCTTGCATTTTTTGTATTTTATATAGTAGTCTCATAAAGAGAAATACATAGTGTAAAGGATTTTCAACCTTATTTATTAGTTTTCAGGCTCTTTTTCACGGGAAGTTTATCTACAGTGGATTTACAATGCCTTTTTATAAAAAGATGCTCAGAAAAAAGTTTACGCTGAAGGATTTGGAAAGCGTTGATGCTGAATTTTACAACAGTTTAATGTGGATTAAGGAAAACAATGTGGATGAATGTGATATGGAGCTCTATTTTGTTGCTGATTATGAATTATTAGGCGGAATTCGAACTCATGAATTAAAGGAGGGTGGCGCTGAATTGGTGCACATTTGCTTATATATAATTTGTTTTTACTTATCAGGAACAAAAGTTGAGGATTGCTCGCTGTTATTGCATCCAAAAGAATTTCGGTGCTTATTCTTGCGCTGTGGGAAAATGTTCTTCATGATGTGATTAACCATTATTAATTCATCAAGTCAAAATAATTATAAATCTATATTACAGAAAGTATCCGAAGAAAACAAGGAAGAATATATTGAATTGTTGATGGAATGGCGATTCAACCGGGGTATTGAACAACAGACACGAGCGTTTTTCACAGGTTTTAATTCTGTTTTCCCACTTGAATGGCTGCAGTACTTTGATGAGCGTGAGCTGGAATTGCTGCTTTGTGGAATGCAGGATGTCGATGTTGATGACTGGCAAAGGAATACTGTTTACAGGCATTATGCACCGCAAAGTAAACAAGTAAGCCTTGATAACTCCCATTTGTAAGATCTTATTGAGTAGGAAATGTGACAGCGCGTTTCTGATCTAATAGGGTTTTGTAATGAAATGCAGAAAGAATTAATAGTGTTGTTCTTCCCATCTTTCTCATTTTATTATCAGCGATAGATTATTTTATTAAGCGCGACGGAAATTATCGTAGTATTATATACACGGTATCGTTGTTGAAGCTTTACTTTTTCAGTGTTTCTATCATGGAAGATAATACAGTGATTTGAATTGATAGCGGAGAAATAAATCTGAGATTAATTCGTGCTATATATGATTTTTCATTATTTTTTAATCAGTTTCATTCCGTCAAAATATGTGCGGATGAGACGATAAGCAAAAAGAAATGAATACACGGATGTGCGGTGTTCCCCGTAGAATCTATTTTATTCTAATTAATCCGTTACTTTTAATATGCGATTAATTTAGGTCTTATGGTTTTGGCAGTTTGCCCGTTCATTAGATCAGGAGAAGCGTGCGCGTCTTCTGCAGTTTGTTACGGGAACTTGTCGGGTGCCCGTTGGTGGTTTTTCCGAACTAATTGGTTCAACAGGTCCACAGCTATTCTGCATTGAACGAGTTGGCAAAGAGAACTGGTTGCCACGATCGCACACTTGCTTCAATAGACTTGATTTACCACCTTACAGATCTTATGAGCAGCTCGCTGAAAAACTAAATAGAGCTATTGATGAAACAGAAGGTTTCGGAAATGAGTGAAGCTATATATGTGTACCATTCATTTTCTTCAGATGCTATAGCTTCTTTTTCAGTTTCGTTTCTTACATTAATGACCTTCTTGTAACTAGATTTGATTTTAACACGTAATCTTATAAGATTTTGCCAATTTAAATACAATCATGAAAATTTTACCCGGTCCTTTCCAGTCTTTCCAGTTTCTAAAGCACATTTTTCCCGGTGTAGCACATCATTATTAATGATATCATTACGCTAATTTAATGCCTGTAGAATTGTCTTTATCACTTCAGTGGCTTCCTTGGGTCTTGACTTCCACTTATTTTATAAAAATTTCCAGTACATTTTTTGATTTTCCGAATAAAACGGAATCGCTTCATTAGAAGAAATGTGTTAAAGCTTCTTGGGTTCTTAGAATTCTCATTCATAAATCTGCCCAGGATATCATTATGTCGATTTATCCATCTGATACTGATGGTAGCACAACTACATAGTATATGCGATTATATGTAAACTAGAAAGGCTTACAATATTTGTTATGCTAATACACTTGTCAGGTTCTATGTAGTTGTTACTATTTTCCGAAATTACAAATATCGTTTGGTAACGAATAACATTTATCACGAGACTTAGTACATGCCAAAAAACATACTTTTCATTCTTCTTTGAACATTTGAATCTGTGATATTTTCTGTGATACGTTAATCATTATACAGTACTATTACTAGCACTGGTGTTATATGTTCACTAAAGTTAAAATATGTGCAAAGACTATCATCATTGGTGTCAATTTTTTCCATGTACTTCTTTCATTATAATAATGTGGAAACTTTCACATTCTTATGTATGACAGGATACATAAATCTAGATATTGGAAACAATATCTTGTGTTATCTGAAATGCAGATTTATTTATCACATCCATAGTCCTAAATAAATATGACAGAGTGAATGGGAGAACTCAACACCACTGCACCTTCAATCTTTTCCTCCTTGAGGGCCAGATTTTGATAGTTGTTTACACAATGGTCTGTTGGACGGCGATTACATTTTAGTTTTTCGAAAAAAGCATGGAGTTAAAAAGGCCTTATGAGATATTAAGAAGGCATTTAAACAAGACACTAACGACCGGACAATTTCAACATGTGTCATAACAAGCATCCTGAATACTATAAACTGACGCTGGAAAAATGGAATTCATAATCGTAATCTGTGTACAATCATGCACAGTCCAAACAAATTTTAAAAGGTAAGCGAGCCTTGGAGTTTTCCGCAAAACCTGACTGAGAGTTAAGCTTCGGGCAGTAAAATTCCATCCTACGGGTTGCAGCGGTATAATAAATAATACTTGGAATGAACAAAAACCAAGTCATATATGGTCACTTATGGCCGTATTGTGCACAAAATATTAACAATAGAATACAAGCGTAATAGAATTCATAAGGCCAAATAAAAGAAGTCGTCACAATCAAATACAGAAAACACATGGCAATGTAGCAGTAGTAAGCGAAGTACAGATTACGGAATGATTCAAGAGAATACATAGCGTATTTGTCTTCGAAACAGAGTGAAAGATGACATGGCGTTTTATGTGGAAACAGAGCCACCAATTCAGTAATCTCGTCTGTACCACTATATTTTTTAGATCAAAAAAGGCGACAAATCAAAAAAAAAAACACCCATGACTGCTCACTGATCACTCTTTGATCATATTGTTTGCTACAAATTATCGCTAAAATTACAAAGATTTTGAAGAATGTGTATCATTAGATACACATTCTTCAAAATCGATACACAGTCGTTTGTAACGACAAGAACGGCAGTCCTCAATGTTTAACAAACGTCATGAACTGTTGAGAAGCATATAGCTGTGAAATTTCAAATAATGAGTGATTGATTCGAGAATTGAGTTATGTCTGATCCTGACGGCAAAGTTGAGCATGGCAGCAACCACAATATCATCGGTCCTAAAAATTAAAGCAAATTTGAGCCTGTCTGTAGATCATGTAGCACTCTTTCAAGATTTGCAAATACGGTTCATCTTTTAGTTCGCAGTTAATTCTTTCTCAATATATTAGCAATAGCGAAAAGATGCCGCTTAATTTATCCGAGGAAAAAGCACTCCGAAATGGGAAGGAGTAATAAATGAAAAATGAATCTTGATATGATTTCCTTATTCTTAATTCAAAATCGTACTTACCATTGCCACACACTTCTCGTATTAAAGTTATTTTTGAGCGCGACAGAGCTACTCGACTATGAAAACTTCTGCGCTGAGCTGCTTCCACCGCTGTCTCATCGTTCAGAACTGCCTGTACCTAAATAAGACAGTATATCTCTTAATATCATATGATGGCATGGAAATGAAATTTTAAGAATGTCGCAGAATATTTTTTGCTTATAATGATGCCTGATTTCTTATTAAATTACCTGATCGCACGAAACGGCAAGGACAAACAAACCAAACAACGCACTTTCGATAGAAAGGAAAACGGTATGCAATCTAAAAATAATTTGTAGTAAGTTTTTTCATAGCATACTGAAATAGTTTGAATTTTTGTAAGCACTAACATTTTTGCATGATGCATACTTTGTTCGTAAGGTCCCTTCATACCTGTAATGCCATATTCATCTTGATATACCCAAGTCATCATTATTAAACTGAAAAAAGAATTGTATGGATTTTTTCTCAAAAGAAGAAATCACATTATATGAGATACGTTGAATTTGTAAAATAAGTTGTATAAAATAATGATATAAATGCTGGTCGAAGGAATAATCCATATAGAGAAACAAAACGAAAAACATCGATATAATCCTTTTTTTTAACGAGTTTTTAAGTTTTAGGAGCTAACTATCAAACCAAGCAGAAATGCTCTTCAACCTATTGGAGATTTTAGTCATGCGACTGACAAAACTCCCGCATGAGAGCATGAAAAAAATGCATAACTGCAATGGTAAAAAGTGCTTGAAAAACATACCTTAAAGCATATCCTGAGGACAAGCCAACATACAACAGAAACTGAAGGAAGTATTTTTGATTGTATTCGCCGATGCAATTATTGACCCAGGGACCTCAAAACACTAAAAATCTAATAAATATTTTAAACAAATGTGACAGAGATTTTCAATGATGTTGCTCATTCATATTCCTTTTTATTTAATTTCCTTAATCTGAATCCAGAAAGCTCTGCACATTACTCACAAGAATTTCTAAAACAAGATTCACACATATGGTTCGGTGTAAGCGATAATTTTTTATCTTGCAGCTTTATCTCCACCAGATCCTGATCCTAACACCAAAATTCAAGACTGGGACTTGGATGAATACTTGTCACACACCTTTCTTCATCGATTTTCCAAAATTTATTATAAGTGGTAGAAAATACTACAAAGTACGAACTATAAAACTACAAACTATAAATATCCTGAAAATTGAGCTAAAAGTACAGTTGCGCCATCGTCGAAAAATGTATTGCTCTCAATGACAAAACGATTCAAAAGGGAAGAGTACTTAATTCGTAGGTATAATCAAGACAAAGACTGCTAACAAACTTCCTACAACTATAAATACTAACTAACAGTGATGATCCATTTTTCGAACGCAGCGTCGACAAACACGGCAATGATGTGCTCGCGGTGGTCTGTAGGATTCACATCGAATACAAATTGTCCAGTCCTTCTCCTCAAAAATTATTCAAATTTTATTGCGATTTCTTATTTAGTTCCAAAATTTCTCATGATAAAAACCCATATTTTGTCATTTGTCACTTATGCATTTCATTTTGTTCCTAATCTATAATTAATTTACTTGCAGACAAAATTTAAAAACTGTGAAAATCATATTTCAACATTGAGATGAATGAGATGACTGGGATGCAGTACAGATGATGTTATCACCAAGAAGACGTGATTAAATAGAACATGAACTTACTACAAATTTATTTTCTTCTCCTATCAATTCCAGATCGGTATCTGTACTATTAGAACCACTATCAGAAAAGAGTTTTGGAAAACGACTTTTATTACAGCGCAACAATCTGCAAACCTGCCGAAAAAATAACATAAAAAAACAAATAACAACTAACAACTCCATATTTCAAGTGATATTTAAATCCTATAAAAATTTCTCTTAAACAAACAGCTTGAATTATAAAAATTCCTCTTAAACAACTCAATGACAGCTTGAACTAAAAATGAAAACCATGGTAAAGTTAATGCACATATATATATATGCGCATATTCATAAGCAATGTGGTCTTTTCTCGTTGCTATTCTCATGAAAGACACATCGTTGCTCAATCTGAATAATTGAAAAAGGAGATTAGACTTAGTGTGAGGTCTCAAATTTGAGTAACATTTTTCTAATTCAATAGCATTCTACCAGCTTCTATGGAATAGGTCAATAATGAGTGAATAAATTATTGGAAAGCAATGAATTAACGCACCCTTTCCGACTAATAGGTACAACGCCTGGATCCGTAACCATAGCTCGAAAGTGGGATGCAAATGCAAAAAACAATACTGTATTAAACAACACTGCATGCAGTACACCCCATAAGCTGTAAATATTACAAATATTATAGCTTCATAAATATTGCTTTCGTCAGTTTATATATATATAAAGAAGACCTAATGAATGTTTTCGAAAGGATAGGTGAAGCATTAAAAGTCAGAGTCTTATTCGCTCTATTATAGATAGATGAAAAAAATTGCTCTAAAATGTATACCACAATATCAATCTTTCAGTGATGATGTTTAACGCCGCTTACTGAGTCATTCTTCACAGAATTAGAATGCTAATGACGTTTACACATAAGGTACGACTATTCTATAGAAATGGAATATCTTCGTGACTAAAACAGCACAGCATTATCAGGAAGGTTTGAAATGAATGAAAGCATACCTTTGCATAAAGTTAGGTGTAATGAGCCAAACGATGACCACATAATCCGCATAAACCATTGCCAAATAAGTGAGCAAAGCGCAAAAGATTCCGCATAAATCACGACGGAATATCATCCCTCAGTAATATTCATTGCATGGATTAATCAACAGCGTCGACCCTAAAACCAGAAATGATTACCAATTCATAAGGTAAACATTAAGAAGTAGATATCTCTACTAAGCTAAATCCACTCCGCTCCAATTACATCGACCATACCTCCGAGACAAAAAGTTTCATTTTGCACATTGATGGAGCTAATGGCCAAAATATGCAACGTTTTGAAAAGTTAATTTATGTGATGAGAAGCCTGAACGGTGTACTACTGTTATAAAGTTGTAGAAAAAAGGAAAGGAGTAATGATTGTGTTCAGTACTAGCAATAATAAATTTAATTTAACAAATAAAGGGATCAGATTGTAAACATTTTGCCAACAATTATTTGTAACTACCTATTATTACCTGCTACGTCATTAGTAATTGATATCGATATAAATCAATTTAATAGCAATAATCGTAAATTGTCATTTATGAAAAAAACATTTTATAAAAAAATATTTGCTGATCTTTAATTATCCTCTTCCTATTTCATTTCTACTAATTTATGTTCAGAAGAATAAAAACTACCGAACAGCATTTGCTATTTAATTATTATGAATAACGAAATATATTTGCATCGACTGTGGAATTTAACAGTTATTGCACTTTTAACACTTCAATAAACATATTTATTTTACTATCTTTCATTAAGTTAAAGCTGCAGTTAACTTATAGAAATTTTATTTCAAAATTGCATTGTTGGATTTTTATAAATTTAAAAAAACTCCAGGAAGGTATTACATGTATGTCAAAGGACAGATATTTTACTATAAATTGGAATAATATTATAATTTATTGGTACTACAGAAATGTTTAAAAAAATGATTTAGTTTATTGAAAAGTTGAATGCAACCTATAACAATGTTCAGTTTAGTAAATGTATTTATTGGTAGTATATTTAAAATGCATTGTTTTTTTATTTGAAAATGTGATATTAGAGATTGATCTTTTATATTCCTTTTTCTCTCCCTTTCTCACTTTCTCTCAGTGCTGTTCCAGAATTTTCATTTTACAAAATGATGAAAGCATTGAAGTTCATACCTTTGCAAATTTTTGGATCAAATCTCTCACAATGCATTCCTATATCCTTTTTTTCGTTTAGTCTTATTGCTCAATTTTATTTTGAATTGAACTAAGTTCGAGAATGAGATAAATGATACTACGAGACAAACTATTAGCCAAAATGAAGATGTACTGAATTCCTATTTGAATATTTTGATGATAGCTTAAAATGTTATAAATTTTTCTATCATTAAGTTCAATAATTTATGATTGAAAGCTTAAATAAGTTTTCAGTGAAACTAAAATTTGATAATGGTTATTAGATTTTACATTATTTTCTCAATATTTTGTGGGAAATTTTGGAAAAAAAAATTGTTGTTGAATAAGAAGAATAAAATTGCAAAGATTATGAACATATTACTTTCTCTCTCCCTTCTAATGTTTGCATTATTTTCCGGCAAATAATAATAGCTACTTCCAGTATTGTTTATCATCATTTATTTGCAGATCAGAAAAGTAACATTTTTATGCCAAAATATTTGAGACATCCAAATATCACTTTTATTCAATCAAAACTTCGACTATTGCCACTTACTACTGATTGATAAGACTCTGCAAAAATTCAATTATCAGTTTTTCATCTTCATTGATCTTCGGCAACTACTGTCGCCATACTTTATCTTTATTTTAATCTTTCTTATAAAACTTAACCTATTTTTTCATGTTGTCTTTTCAATAAAAATTTAGGTGTGAACAAATATTGGAACCATTTTGAATAAAAGTTTTTTTTAATATATTCGAAAGTGAGGAGTAGCAATTAATTATTTGAAAGAACAAAGTCAGTAGATATTATATTTCTTCAAAAACTAAAATATTCAATTCAGGAATCTGATTTATCAAAGGATCTTGCTTGCTTTACACTTCGGTGCAACTTTCTCAAATTGCAAAATTATTGCAAAATTTCGGTATTGCAAAATTTGATAGATGTGATAAAATGAAGATAATTTTGTAGTCGCTATTACTTCAGCAAACAGAAAATGAACTTTCTACACATGTCATAGATTACAAGACTTATGATAATGTAGTTATTTAGAACTGGAACAATCTCAATAGTTTCACCTTCCTTAACTAACACTGCTTCAAAATATATGCAAGCAAGAACTCTCTAATGTCTTCATTTCAACAACATTCTTTAAATATGACGATACATTTATATGTCGGAATAATTTACAAAGAGGTGTCGAGCATTTGTCACCCACCGGCTGTAAAATAGCTTGAAATTAATAAATAAATCCACTTTCTAGCACTAATTTGATGAAATACACATTTTAGCAACACTTAAAGCTCTTAATGGCTTTCTTCCTGTGAAATAGAAGGAAGAGGAAGAATATTAGTTTTATTCAGATGAATGTAACCTTTAAACAGTGTTTTTATAACACCATTATTCTTCATTGGTTGTAGATTTTGTAGGCTAACTACATTGCCTTATTTGATCCAATTTTCCTCCCAGAATTCAGATTCTTTCAACTTCTGTTAGGTTTTAATTTAATTGTCCAAAAATCCTCAATTGAATATTATGCATGAATTTCTTTTAAAACTCTTTTTTACGGTAATCAATTTTGGATCATGTAATGTAATTGATATTAATATTATAATTTTGATCTTCGAAAACGATTCTTCATTACTCAAATATCGATTAAAAGTTTATTGAAAGTTGAAAGTTAGAAACCAAAAACAATTTGCCCTGATATCATTTACATTAGATTGTCATTTTAACAACAACTTGGGCTCATTAATCGTCGACTTTCTGATAATCAGGATTGGGGGAAAAACCTCGCAATGTCACAGAGCTATGCACAAAAGCTGATTACAGCAATTGTCGAAATGTTTTCAATATTATTGCACTTTCAGCTCTTACAGTACATTCACATAAAATGGGAATAATGCAGAGTATGTAAATGTAATTTGCTTTAAAATGGTGTTCTATCATTAGTGATCTGTCTTCACCTTTACCTTTTCATTGCTTAATTGTGTTTCTATCTCCTAACTCTTCCATACTTCTATTACTTACCTAATTCTTCCTAAAATTTCAATGTTACATCTTAAAATCATACTTATAGAAATTGTTTTTTTTCGCTTCATCAGTAGGGAATGAAGATGACAAATTTCATAAAAGAAATGAAGAAAGATCAAGATTTTTAGATCACAAATTCGATCGTTAAGAATGTGTTTAACACAATCTTTCTTGGATACGATAGTTATATGATGGTTTTTAAAGTCTTAACATAATGCTAAGACTTTAAAATATCAGAATAATGAGACCATCGTATTTTTTCCATCCAATTACTAATTACTTCCTTGAAATGAAGATATATTGAAAAGCATTTCTTATTTATCATTCCAATCATTTTTCACTTTCACCATTTAAGAAAAAAAATGCCTTATTCCTACGTAGTACTATTTGCTGTCATTTTCACTACTTTCGATCAACAGTAATATTTTGCATTATATATGTAAAAACGTTTGATTCATTCCCATCCTTCGAATTAATTTTCATTCCTCGTAAACTTCCATCTATTACCATCTATAAATGCCTTTTATAATTCCTAGAAAAAAATAATACATGAAACTTGTGCTTCCATAAAATTCGATTAATATTTTACAATATTTAAGTTAGTATTACTTAGAGCTGAGATATGGGATAAGATGTTACAGGCATTAAATCCCTCGAAATCTAAAGTGCAAGGATCGGGACAAGATCAGGAACAGTAGTAGTATGAGAAAAATCTGAGAATTGATTAGGCGATTGATGTTGTGATTATGATTGTCTGTGATGGATAGTTATAACAATATTGAGTTCAAAATATAACTTACATTAATATGATATTTTCGGTTTGTGTTGTCGAATCTCCATTTCTATTAATCAGATAAATGATTAAACAAATATCGAGAGAAACGAGTAAATTGAAGTTTCTTGCAGTTCTCAGGAAAATGAAGAGAGCGGCTGGAAGTTTTCTATCACATTTATAACATTTGAGGAATATAAAATGTGTGCAACAAATTGTAGGTGAAATAGAAGAGTTTTAAAGTGGAACATAGGGCAAACTGTAAAAAAGAATATTCCATGATCTTCCTCGAACATATTCACAATTGTTAGTTCATTTTAGATTGATTAAGCAATAATAGCTTAGGACAGTAAGTGGAAAAAGATAAAATTAGCAACGAAGTATTGAAAAAAGTTTTCTGCATGTTCGGGATAGATGTATGCCATGAAATATTTGAAAGGAAATGTGTCTTCGTTTGTCCTATTTATTCTTTTCATCTATTCTCTATTAGTTAGTATTTAAGTTAATAATAAAAGTATCAAAAAGAAAAGTTATATCTAATCAACGAGAATAATTGTATTTTCTAATCAAGAATACAATATTTTGTATAAAATCTAATGTTTCGCTGAGTAAACAATAACCATTGCGGCTCTACAATTGCGAATTCCTGAAACTTCGTCGCCCAACTATAAGAAGCCTGTTGTTATAGTACTGTGTGCTCATTGTAGGCACAAGATTTTATGGGATCATACCTCAAAATTAAGTACTCTGGAGAAATGTAAGTTTATAAAAACAGTAACTTCTACAAAGTAGTTAGTTGTGAAATATTGATCCAATTAAAAGGGAGAGAGGAATAGAATGAATTAAGGAATTACCTGACATTCGGGAAAGTAAAATTGCTGGTAGTAATTCGCTTTCCCAACCTTTTCGAGTGAATTAGCTTGTGAGTAAACGATTGATTGTTGAAAAAACATACTGATAACATTTCGTTTCACTGTTTCATGTTAGTTATATTTTGTTGAAGAGATCATAGTACTAATGTAATCGATACTGTTTCACATAGACATAATCGACAAGATTAAAAGCATATTATCAGTAAAATTGTGCTTTCTGATTTGATGTTTTGAAAATTTTTATCACATATGATTCCAA